ATATATATAACATAGAATTTGCCATTTTAACTTTTTTTTTTTTTGAGACAGGTTATTGCTTTGTTGCCCAAGCTGGAATGCAGTGGTGTCATCACAGCTTACTGCAACCTCCAACTCCTGGGCTCAAGTGATCCTCCCGCCTAAGCCCCACCCCCAAGTAGCTGGGACTACAGGCATGTGCCGCCACACTGGGTTAGCCATTTTTTAGTGTATAGTTCGGTGGCATTAAGTGCATTCACATTGTTGTACAATCATCACCACCGTCCATCTCCAGAACTTTTCCATCTTCCCAAACTGAAACTCTGACCTCATTAAACAATAACCCCCCTTTCCTTGGTTATCTCTCAGAGCCGGGAGAAGGATGGAATTGACACAGAGGGCTTCAGTGGTGTTCCTGACATTCTTAGTCTAGTCTAAGCTTGGGGCACACATATCTTTATAACTATTCATTCACCAAGAAAGAAAATGCCCCCATTTAAACTGGCATGCTTTGTTATTGCTTATAATTCTCATTGCATACCTACTGTCTTTTAGAGAAGAGCTCTAGTAAACCTATTTAGACATTGATTTTTTTTTTTTTTTTTTTGAGACAGAGTCTCGCTTTGTTGTCCAGGGTAGAGTGAGTGCCGTGGCGACAGCCTGGCTCACAGCAACCTCAAACTCCTGGGCTCGAGCGATCCTTCTGCCTCAGCCTCCCGAGTAGCTGGGACTACAGGCATGCGCCACCATGCCCGACTAATTTTTTATATATATATATCAGTTGGCCAATTAATTTCTTTCTATTTATAGTAGAGACGGGGTCTCGCTCTTGCTCAGGCTGGTTTTGAACTCCTGACCTTGAGCAATCCACCCGCCTCGGCCTCCCAGAGAACTAGGATTACAGGCGTGAGCCACCACGCCTGGCCTAGACATTGATTTTTATCCTACATCTGCTGCCCTATTCAGTGCCTGTCATGACCATTGCTGAATTATCTTTGAACTCAGTGCTGCACTATAGAAATAGAATGCAAGTCACTTTATCAGGTTTTAGTCTGAAATGTCAGTTCTTAGTGCACTCATGGCCAAACAATGACCAAACACACAAAAGTAAGGCAAGCACAATTGAAGAGAGAAAGATAAGATTATAGGGCAAGAGCTATATATAAGTTTATATACACCATAGATGATGACCAGACCCATTGTCACAGCAGGAAAAAAGGGCCAAAGGAAGGGCACAGAAAGGGCCTTCTTATGGTCTGTGTCTTGTTTTATGGTGCCTAGATTGGGACTTCCCTAGTGGCTCTGATGTCACCATGGAACCACTTTGATTGGACAGTTGGGAGTTGCACATGCAAGGTTCTAGGTCAATTTCTGGACTCTATGGTACCTATGTGGCTTGGCTTGTGGGCTAGAGAGTCCTCTGCATTCTTTTGCAGCTGGTGCACGATGTTATGATTAGCTGATTCATAGGGTATTCCCTCCTGCCATTCCCCCAGGTATGGCAGTTGTTTGGGCGAGGATTAGGGTGGGACAGGACCAAGATGGACACCTGGGACCCACCCTTGTGGTTCTTCCCTAGTGAGGCAATTGCCCCAAGGCAACAGCACCCACTTCCATCCCTAGGAGACCTGGAATCCCTCACAATCTACCTAACAACTTATGTGATTTTCAGTTTTCTAGTAGCCACATTAGAAAAGGCAAAAGATACAGGCAAAATGAATATCACCATTATATTTTATTTAACCCAGTGTAGCTATAATATTATACTTTTCACATGTAATCAATATGCAAATCTTTAGTGAGATATTTTACATTCTTTTTTCATACTACAGCCTTTCATATTATTTGGGTTAGTCACATTTCAAGCACTCAATAGCCACATTTGGCTAGTGGCTACCATACTGGATGGTACAGATCTAGAAAACACTTCAAACAGCAATTAAGCTCAACTTAAACTTATACTCCCCATAATTTATATATCTAAGGTCATATGAACAGATGTGTCCAATTGCACACAAACCTAGGCCATGGGAACTAGTCTTAATGGCTGCAGGACCAACATAAACTGCAAGAACTCCATTGATTAAGAGATGCAGCCTGCTTTTCAGAGGTGTTAAAATGTGGAATTGTTAGGTAGATAGTGAGGGACCTCCACCTCTCCTAGGGAAAAAAGTTGGCACCCTGCCTTGGTGTTGCCTTGAGCAATTCCCACACCTGGGGAAGAAGGACAAGGGCCAGTCCCCACCTTGGTGCTGCCAGATCTTGAGCCTGCCCCAAGCAATTGCCATACCTGGGGGAAGGAGGAACAGCCCTGGCAGTCTGCAAAAGAGTGCAGGGAATTTCCCAGCCTTGCAGCCAGACAACCCAGGAACAATAGGGTCTGGAAAATGACCTGGAGTAACCTAAGGCTAATTACCATGTTGATAACTGTCCATCAAAATGGTTCAATGGTGACATTTGAAGCATGAGGAGCACCCAATCCAGACAATAAAATAGTCCCCCAGACCATTTACCAGAGCTTCTTGTTATGACAGGTGGTCAGTTCATCATCTGTGGTGAGTGTATCTTGCCCTTGCTCTATAAAACTATCTTGCTCTTCCTCAATAAACTTGGTTTCGTGATGGCCTTGCTATTGGTGTGTCTGGTCATTCTTCGGCCAAGAGCACACCAAGAACTGAGAACAGATTGCCAACCTGACAGAATCACAAGTTACCATGATCATAAAGCAGCCACCATGGGTGTGAGGACTAGTCATCATGACAAAACCTAAGGATGATAAGGTGAGATGGTGTGTTGCTCAGGCTGTTCTCAAACCCCTGGCCTTAAGTGATCCTCCTGCCTCAGCCTCACAAGTAGCTGGGATTACTGATGTGAGCCACCGTTCCTGGCCTAATTCATATATTTGTATGATTTTCTGTATGTCCCCGCTTGCTAGCATGTAAATTCCACAAGAACAGAAATCTTTGTTTTGCTTCTCAGTGTATCCCATGAAAATAACAGTGCCTTATAACAGGTGTTCAATAATATTTGTAAATGTTTTAGGAATCTTTTCTTATTTGCACATACAATCACTTATTTGCCATTGTATTCCTAACACTGAGTCCAGTTCCTGACACATTATAAACATTAAGTATGTGCTGAATTAATGTTGTTCTTCAGAAAGTACACTCAAAAATTCAGGCAAAGAAGGAAGGAGAGAGGGGGAGAGAGTGCAACCTTAAAGGAGTTGTAGCAGAGGCAAACTGAGTGCCACCTATTGACAAAAAAGTAGAGTGAGGATCCCAGGATTGCATGAGTCACAGTAATACTGTTAAAGCCACACCATAAAATGGCCAATTTAAAGGGTTTTTGCATGTGAATGTTAATTTTTTGTTGTATAACCTCCTTAAGGTCAGGGATGGAAAAATACAGGCTTGGAGAATTGCTCAATAGGTATTAGATAGTGACAAGCATTCAAAGGCCTATTTAGACAAAAACAGCTGTTTTCTGTGGAAACCCAAGTTTCCCAACCCTCACTACTGAGGGAGATAGTAGCAAATAATAGTAACAATAATGACCCTTCCAATAAAGATATGAGGTGGTAATTGTTTTACCTCATTCTCATTTTGTCTCCCAAATTTCATACTAAGTAGAGAAACAAATCATATTCCCATAAAAAGATAGCTACCTGCTGAGGCTGTGCAGGATAAAAGGTGCTACCATGGCAGAACCCTGTATGAACTGTGTCTTTTCTCGTTATAATTTCTAATTTATTTATTTTCAGTAGTATAAATTTATGGGTATAAGTGTGATTTTATTACATGCATAGATTGCATAGTGGTGAAGTGGCTTTTAGGGTATCCTTCACCCAAATACCATATATATATATAGTATCCATTACATAATTTCCCATCATTCACTCCCCTACCACTCCTTCATCCAAGTCTTCGTTGTCTATTATTCCACACTCTGTGTCCATGTGTACACATTATTTAGCTCCCACTTATAAGTGAGAACATGCAGCATTTGTCTTTCTGTGTCTGACTTGTTTCAGTTAAGATGATAGCCTTCAGTTCCATTCATGTTGCTGCAAATGACATTATCTCATTCTTTTTTATGGCTGAAGAATATTCCATTGTGTATATATACCACATTTTCTTTATCTAATCATCTGTTGATGGACACTTAGGTTGATTCCTTACCTTTGCTATTATGAATAGTGCTGTGATAAACATATGGGTGTAGGTATCTTTTTGATATAATAATTTCTTTTCCTTTGGGTACATTCCCAGTAGTGGGATTGATAGATCAAAAGGTAGGTCCACTTTTAGTTCTTTGAGAAAACTCCATTCTGCTTTCCACAGAAGCTGTACTAATTTACATTCCCCCCAACAATGTATAAGCATTCCCTTTTCTCCACAACCTCACCAATACCTGTTAATTTTTGTCCTTTTAATAATAGCCATTGTGACTGGAGTAAGGTGATATCTAATTGTGGTTTTATTTTGCATTTCTCTGATAATTAGTGATATTGAGCATTTTTTCATATGCCTGTTGGCCATTTGTATGTCTTTTGAAAAATGTTTATTCATGTCTATTACTTTTTTTGTTGTTTTTTGAGACAGAGTCTGGCTTTGTTGCCCTGGCTAGAGTGCCATGGCCTCAGGCTAGCTCACAGCAACCTCAAACTCCTGGACTCAAGTGATCCTCCTGCCTCAGCCTCTCAGGTAGCTGGGACTACAGGCACACGTCACCGTGCCCAGCTAATTCTTTCTATTTTTAGTAGAGTCGGGGTTCTCTTGCTCAGACTGGTCTCAAACTCATGAACTCAAACAATCTGCCTGCCTCAGCCTCTCAGAGTGCTGGGATTACAGGCGTGAGTCACCGCCCGGTCTATTGCTCACTTTGTAAAACAGGAATGAGAGCGGGAGTGACTCCATGACAGGCTGCACTTGCTGGAGTAGGCCTAATTTTCGTATCCCCGAAACTTGGCTGACTACACACTTCCCCGAAATGACTCGCGCCGCTTTTGAAGAAGCCAATCAGGAGCCAACACGATCAGCCACTTTTAAAGGAACCCATGGACTAAGGGGGGAGGGGAGGAAAGGTGTACCCAACATGTACAACTTGCAGAAAAGTATAAAAGCTTGACTTATACCCCAGGGTGGGGTCCTGGTTCCTATGTAGGCCACTGCGTTGGCGCTCTGGGACCTGGACCCTAGCTCGAGCTAGCCAATAAACTCCTTTGTGCTTTGCAGCCTCAGCGATTCTGCCTCCCTGTTCCTGGGGCCGAAGGAAACCAGCTCTAACAACTTTTTAATGGGATTATTTTGGGGGTGGGGTTGGTGGTGGTTGTTTCATTTGAGTTCCTTGTACATTCTGGATATTAGTCCCCTGTTGGATGCATACTTTGCAAATATTTTCTCTCATTCTGCAGATTGTTCACTGTGTTGATTATTGGTAGATTCGAATCCAGCTGGCTATGCAAACAAACAAACAAACAAACAAAAAACCAAACAGATAAATAAATAAATAACACAATGGTAACTATTTGTGTATCTAAGCATAAAAAAGGTACAGTAAAAATTTGGTATTATAGTCTTATGGGACCACCATCTTATATGCAGCTCATTCTTTAGGGAAACATCATTATGTGCCACATGACTGTATACACATACATAGAAACTGTTCGTAGTAATTGTTTACAGAACTGCAGTCATGCTGCACTCACTTTTTGCATCTTGCCTTAATCATTGATGGTGCTCTCGTGTTGAAAGCATATATATTTAGAATTGTATTCTTTTGCTGAATTGATCTCTCTGTCATTATATAATGACTTTTAATAACTGTTTTGACTTAAAGCCTGTTTTATCTGATATAAATATAGCTACTCTTATTCACTCTTTGGCCAGAGGTGGTGGCTCATGCCTGTAATCCTAGCACTTTGGGAGGGCAAAGCAGGAGGATCCCTTGAGGCCAGGAGTTCAAAACCAGCTTGGGAAACATAGCAATACCCAATCTCTATGAAAACATTTTGTTTTTTTATTGAGACAGTCTCACTCTGTTGCCTGGGATAGAGTGCCATTGCGTCAGCCTAGCTCACAGGAACCTCAAACTCCTGGGCTCAAGCAATCCTACTGCCTCAGCTTCCCAAATAGCTGGGATTACAAGCATGTGCCACCATGCCCAGCTAATTTTTTATATATATATTTTTAGTTGTCCAGCTAATTTTTTTCTATATTTTCCATAGAGACAGGGTCTTGCTCTTGCTCAGGCTGGTCTCCAACTCCTGAGCACAAATGGTTCACCTACCTTGGCCTCCCAGAGTGCTAGGATTACAGGCATGAGCCACCACCCCTGGCCGAAAACATTTTTAAAAATTAGCTAACTGTGGTGATGCATGCTTGTGGTCCCTGCTATCCTGAACACTGAACCAGGAGGATTGCCTGAGCTCAGGAGTTTGAGGTTGCAGTGAGCTATGATGATGCCACTGCACTCTAGCCAGGGTGACAGAGCAAGACTCTGTCTCAAAAAAAAAAAGTTAAGAATCTTTATGACCATCAGCTATGTTACTCTCAAGTAGTAATTATAGGAAAGCAAACTGGTCACATACATATATTAATTGGAACAATGGCTGGTTGTATATATATTTTAACTATGACTATACCTTTGCAGAGTTCAGTCCCCTACCACAATTTCCACCTTGTGGACCTTTATTAATTTTATGAATGGCAGTTTCAATTTTATATATTCATTTCCAGAATCTATTCCCCTTGCTTTCGTATTTGTATCTCACTAGAGGGACAGGATAACTTAAGCAAATAAAAAAAAATGGTTAATTGGCAGAATCTTAGGATAATGCCAGCCTCCTGTCATAGGGGTCAGACAATGTCTTGGTCCAAGCCTCTCTCCAAAACACTGTAACTTCACCCAAATTCCCCCTTCATGTCACAATCCCTATAACAAAACAGGTCAGGATGTTTTCAGATTTTTTTTCTCTGAGTCTATATTTTCTACCAGTAGACTTTCTTATTCTCTTTGCTAATTCAAGATTTAAAATACTTTCCAATAAATTTGGCACTATTCTTGGAAAAAGCTAATTACCTAATTTTTACATACCAATGGAGCTGGGAAGGTGGTAGTGGGAGAACAAGAAACAGTAGAGATATGCTAAGGCAATTAGTTGGAGGCAATTTAGAGAATAAAAAGAAAGTCATTATGCAAATATATATCTATTAACAGTTATTTAGTCTTTAAAAGGAGCACTGCTTAGAATTAAAGAGGACACTCTTTCTTCTGAGTTGTTAGAAATCCTTATAATTAATGTCAGGCCTTGGAATGTTATAAATCTTATTCCTTACTGAACGGCTGTTATTATTCTACCAATTGCCTTCAGGACTAAGAGCTCTTCAGCTGTCTCTCCAATCCTAGCTACTCAGAGGCTGAGACAGGAGGATCTCTTGAGCCCAAGAGGTCAAGGTTACAAGTGAGCTACGATCACACCACTGCACTCCAACTTGAGTGACAGACTGGGACCCTATCTGGAAAAAAAAAAGCTGCAGAATAATTTTTAAATAAAAAATTTTAATTAAGGTCAGGGCACAGATATAAATGAGAAAGATGACTTCCTATAAGATTTTTCATTGCTGCATTATTTGCAGTAGCAAAAGACTACCAATAAACTAAATGTGTTTCAACAGAGAACTGTAACAGAGGGAATGGCGTGAAAAAAGGGTAAAATGGGCTGGGCGCAGTGGCTCACGCTTGTAATTCTAGCACTCTGGAAGAATGAGGTGGGAGGATCCTTTGAGCTCAGGAGTTTGAGACCAGCCTGAGCAAGAGAGAGACCCAACTCTACTAAAAATAGAAAGAAATTAATTGGCGAACTAAAAATATATAGAAAAAATTAGCCAGGCATAGTGGCACATGCCTGTAGTCCTGCTATAAGGCGGATGGTGGGCACCCACTCCACTCCCTAAAGAAAAAAGGAGAAGCCCACAAGACCCGCCAAAAACAACTGCCAGGCCCCACTGAGAACAACCACACCTGGACATTCACCCGGATAAGAACGTTTCTGTTCCTCAAGTTTGCAGATACCGATAGCCCCTCCTCCTGGAATCTGCAAATACCGCCAGCCCATCCAATTTCTCAAGAACAGACAAAGGCCACAGTGGCAAATTCCCAGCTCTTCCCACCAAAAGTCTCCAGCCTGCCTCAGACGGTATAAAAGCCCTCACCCCTTTCAAATGGGTGTGACTTCTCTGGCCCCCTCTCTCGGGACCCGTGAATCTCGCTCGGGAGCGCTCAAATAAAGACTCGTTGCTTGCCCTTTTTCCACTCTGTTCATCTCTCTTTCTCTGGCACTGACAATCCAAAAACCTTACACCAGCTACTCGGGAGGCTGAGGCAGAAGGATCCCTTGAGCCCAGGAGTTTGAGGTTGCTGTGAGCTAGGCTGACACCACAGCACTCTAGCCCAGGCAGAGTGAGACTCTGGCTCAAAAAAAAAAAAAAAATAGCTGTAAAATCTTTTATAAGCTGTCTCTTTAATCACCCCCACTCTTTTGGGGCATTAAAACCTACATCCCTCTGTCTCGCAATGGATAGCGCATTGGACTTCTAAAACCTACATCCCTGCCTGAGGCCAGTAATCAGAGAGGCAGGCCAGTGTTCTTTGTTCTTTGTACCACAGGAGATGTCAGTGGAATTGTCCAGGCAGAGCTTATCTTTACCAGACATGCTACAGTTAAACAGCAATATCCCACAGCTAAAAGCTCCCTTTATAAGCTCTGTCTTTCTGCTTATAGATAGGATGATGGTACTTTAAGATGAGAGTCTCCAATTCTCCTCATTTGCCAGCAAATTTCTCTTTCCTTTTCCTCAAACAACTTGTCCTCATTCTTCTGATGTGGCCTCAGGGACAAGTGCCAAACTTTCAGTAACAGAACTAGTTAAAGAAGGTTGAGAGATCTATACCGTAGAAGAATTTCTGATAGTCTCTATATATTAATATAAAAGAATGTCTAAGATATACCCTAAACTGGAAGACATGAGGTAAAGAATATAGAAAAGTGTATATTATATGCCGCCACTTTGTGAAAAACATATATGTGTGTGTCTGTGTATATATATGTATTATCTGGAATACAAAACAAAAACCTGCTAATATGAGTATGGTTGCCTCCAGGAAGGGGCTCTACATGGCTGGGGAAAAAGGGAGTAGGAGTGAATGATGTTTTATCTTTTACTGTATACTATTTGTATCTTTTAGATTATGCACCATGTGAGGCTATTGCTTATTCAAAATTATTTTTTAAATTCTAGACCAATTCCACACTCAGGGGAAAAAAACACCTGAAGCCAGAGGAGATAATAAAGTAATTTATCCACAGGAAATATTTAGACATCAGGGAGAACTAGAAGGAAATACAACTTGGACAGCCAACATTGAAATGGGTGGGATACAGACATGATTTCAATCCCAGTGAGGTCCCCAGGTATCTATAGTCTAATTATGAGAAAGAAAGCCTTGGGGCCATCTCAGAATACTCTGGAAAACAAACTGAAAGAATTTCACATGTGGAATTACATACTGTGAGCTGGATGGATTTTAGAGATATAATAGGTCAGAAATTCTAATACAAATCAGAGATCACAAACCAGTGGGCCATAGGACAGATGCCTGTGTGCATTATGTTTGGCCTGAATACTGTTTATCATTATTATCATTATTGTTATTGTTATTTTTAGATATGGAAAGTGCTATGTTGCCCTGAATACTGAATACTGCTTTTCTGTTTTGTTTTATTTTGGGTTTTTTTTTTTTTTTTTGAGAGAGAGAGTCTAGCTCTGTTGTCCAGTCTAGAGTGCCATGGTGTCAGCCTAGCTCACAGCAACCTCAAACTCCTGGGTTCAAGAGATCCTCCTGTCTCAGCCTCCTGAGCAGCAGGGACTACAGGCATGTTCCACCATGCCTGGCTAATTTTTTCTATTTTTAGTAAAGGCGGGGTCTTGCTCTTTATCAGGCTGGTCTCGAACTCCTGACCTCAAGTAATCCTCTCACCTCAACCTCCCAGAGTGCTAGAATTACAGGTATGAGCCAGCATGTCTGACTCTGAATATTGTTTTTTCTTTTTTTTGAGACAGAGTCTTACCCTGCTGCCCGGGCTAGAGTGCCGTGGCGTCAGCCTAGCTCACAGCAACCTCAAACTCCTGGGCTCAAGCAATCCTCCTGCCTCAGCCTTCTGAGTAGCTGGGATTACAAGCATGCAGCACCATGCCCGGCTAATTTTTTCTATATACTTTTAATTGACCAATTAATTTCTTTCTATTTTTAGAGGAGATGGGGTCTCGCTCTTGCTCAGTCTGGTTTCAAACTGCTGACCTTGAGCGATCTGCCTGCCTCAGCTTCTGAGAGTGTGAATACTGTTTTTAAATTTTATTTAAATTAATTGCCAACACGTTACGATCAGGAGATTTCACACCTAAAAAAAACTAGACTAGGCATGGTGGCCCATTCCTGTAATATCAATGCTTTGGAAAGCAGAGGCAGAAGGACTACTTGAGGCTAGGAGTTCAAGACTAGCCTGCACGACATAGCAAGACTTCATCTCTACAAAAAACATTAAAAATTAGCCTGGCATCGTGGCAGGTGTCTATAGTCCTAGCTACTTAGTAAGCTGAGGTGGGAAAATTGTCTGAGCTCAGGAATTGGAGGTTATAGTGTCCTATAATCATGCCACTGCTCTCTGGCCTGGCTGACAGAATGAAACCCTTTCTCTAAAAAATAAAAAAAATAAAAAAAATAAAAAAACCTAGTGGCTGGGCATGGTGGCTCACACCTGTAATCCTAGCACTTGGGGAGGCCGAGGTGGGAGGATTACTTGAGCTCAGGAGTTTGACACCAGACTGAGCAAAAGTGAGACCCTGTATCTACTAAAAATAGAAAAATTAGCTGACTATCATGGTGCACACCTGTAGTCCCAGCTACTCTGGAGGCTGAAGCAAGAATATCACTTGAGCCCAAGAGTTTGACATTGCAGTGAGCTAAGATGAGGCCAATGCACTCTACCCAGGGCGACAGAGCAAGATTCTGTCTCAAATAAATTAAACAAAACAAAAAACAAAAAACCGAAAAACCTAGCTATCTGGCTTCATTGGAACTTCTGAAAGCTCTGGTTTACCACACCTGCATTCTCACATGGCACCATCACAGTTGCCCCCTGCACACCGAAGCTGATTCTCCCCAGTTGCCACAACTCCCCTCTGCAAGCATTTCTCAATTTCATCACCTGCTAAGCCCATGTAAGCATCTTAGGTAAGGAAACTAAGGCTCAGAGGCCAACTTCAACAGCTCAGGTGTCCCCGTTCCCATTCCCCAATTCTTAGTCTTTGCTTCAGTCAGCAGAGTTGGGAAATCAACAGAGATAATACTCCATAATCTTCTTGCTTTGAGCCACTACTCAGAATTCCTGACTCTAAATCCCACGTCACTGCCCAACCCAGGGGTTGGTTCCAATACCCACAATTAGGAAACCCTAGATTTCCTCCTTCCCCAAAGAATCATACAAAGCTCACCCAGAATTATAGGGGCTGTCCTCATCCTAGGACCCTGGAATCTTTTCACCTCTTTCCTGCTATTGTCTGGTCCTAGCGCCAGGCCTAGCAACATACCCATCTTTTACAAAATTTCCCAGAGCCAGAAGGTGCCATTGCCATGGTATTCTCCCAAGAAGGGGCAGCCACCAATAAGACACAATTGCCTGCCACGTCGCTGTGACTGCTGCTGGTGCTCACCACTAACCCTTCTTTCCCTCTGATCCCTGCAATCCACGCCTCGCCAGCTGCTGCTCCCCAAGCCTACATCTCAGTGACAGTGAGCCACCTTCCCTGTTATGCTCATGCTGATCCTGCCCTTCCCCGCTGCTGCTCAGGAACCTCTCTGGTCTCCACTCCTGAAGCCAATGTTACCAAATCTGTAGATCTATGCTAGAACCTATTTTTCTTCTAGCTGAAGCATGACTGCATCCTCTGAAATGAGAGCTCCCCCTGCCGAGAAATTTAGATCAAATCTTTCAGGATCTGCAAAGACTATTGGTCTTTAGGTTATAAGAAAACCAACTCAAACTAGCTTATGATTTAAAAAAATTACTAAGGAAGCAGTTCAGAACAGGCCACCCCAAGATATGTCATTTTGGCATATTGACTATTTTGAGTGAAAAGCACTTGAAAAACAGCAGCTGCAAGATCACTCTGATCTTCCTTCTGTTGCTTAACAGCAGGAGATGAAATTCCCATGTGAAAGATATCTTCCCTTTTTCAGAAGTATCATTTTTACCATCAAGGAGAGAAAGCTGAGGCCGAGGTTAAACATGTACCAAAAACCTTATTAAACTCATTATCTTTCCAACTAACTACCCTATCACTTCTCTATCTAATTAACTACCTTATCCCAAGCCCCTTGTCACATTTTCATAATTACTATTCTTCATCCAATTCAGCATATAAGTACTCAATTCAAACTGCATCTTTGGGTCCTCCTTTCCTGATAAAGGATCTTATGCCACATAAAAGTTGTATTGCATAAATTTGTGTGCTTTTCTCCTGATCATCTGCCTAATGTCAATTTAATTTTCAGGCCCAGCTGAAAACCCTTATGAGGGTAGAGGTAAACTTTTGCCTCCCTTATATACTGGCAAAGTATGGGAGAGGAGATGGCCTCAGCTCCAATAGCTTCAAGTCACTTGGCTTCTGTTTTTCTCCCATTTTTGCCTTTGCTTACTCAAACTCTTGCCTCTATACCTTCTAACTTTTCCACTGGCAGGCACTGTCTGTGTCTAGGACACATCCTTAGGTCTTCAGAACTGATAAAACACTTCTTAGCTGATAGATCAAATCCCACAGGAGGATTCTGATTGATTCTAATTGAGTCACTTGCTCATCCTTGGACCAATCACTGTGGCCAGAGTGGGAACGGTTCTATGATTGGCAACTCCAGGAGGACCAAAAAAATAAGGAAGGTCAGATCTAACAGACTGCTAGGCAGACAAAAACCACAGATGTCTTCTACAATCTTGTACTGATAAAAACCAGGGTTCCTATAAAAAGACAAATAACCTTATTTAAAAATGGGTAAAGGACTTGAACAGACATTTTTCTAAAGAAATCTGCATATCATCAATAAACATATAAAAACATGGCCAATTATCAACAGGGAAATGCAAATCAAACTCACTATGATATACTATTTCACATTAAGATTTGTTTGTTTGTTTTTTTTTGTTTTTTTTTTTTGAGACAGAGTCTCACTTTTGTTGCCCTGGCTAGAGTGAGTGTCGTGGCGTCAGTCTAGCTCACAGCAACCTCAATCTCCTGGGCTCAAGCGATCCTCCTGCCTCAGCCTCCCAAGTAGCTGGGACTACAGGCATGCACCACCATGCCCGGCTAATTTTTTGTATATATATTTTTAGTTGGTCAATTAATTTCTTTCTATTTTTAGTAGAGACGGGGGTCTCGCTCAGGCTGGTTTTGAACTCCCGACCTCGAGCAATCCGCCCGCCTCGGCCTCCCAAAGTGCTAGGATTACAGGCTTGAGCCACCACTCCCGGCCTAAGATTTGTTTTTAAACTTCTGAATAGCATAGTTTTATTGCATAGCATTTCTGCAATTAAAGGTGTTAAACTCTTAAGATAAACATTTAAAATATTCCAATATTTTACAACCTTTTCTGCCTATCTTAATTTCTTTTTTGTTATAAGAGATCCTTAAAACACTAAGATTATTATAATAAAAAGTTCAGGTAATAACAAGTGTTGGCAAGGATGTGGAGAAATCAGAACTCCAAAGAGTAGAAGTGTAAAATGGAGCAGCCCCTTTGGAAGACCCTCTGCCAGTTCCTCAATGGTTCAAGGTAGAGTTACCATAAATATAGCCACCAACCCTGAGTGATTGGTTGCAGTAGTGCAGACATGGCTTATTGCAGCCTGGATCTGCCTTGGCCTCCCAAAGGGCTAGGATTACAGGAGTGAGTCACCAAGTCCCGCCCAGACTTCGTTTCTGGAGGGGGGGAAAACGCTCTCAAATATATTGTGGTGATGGTTACCCAACTCAGTGAACGTACTAAAAACCAATGAATGAACACTTCAGATGGGTGAATCATATGCCATATGATTACGTCCTAATACATAAAATAGCCAAGCTGCTTCTCTTCTGTACGTCCTGCCATGTCCCCTGGGGCCTCTGGGAGATGGAGAGTGCTCCATCTGAACCTAGACCAACTGAGATCAGATCCAATCCTGTTTCTATTTCCTAGAAGTTAACTCTTTCTGCAACAGCAACATGAGGATGATAATGCCCACCTGGAGAGGTTGATGTGACTTTTAAAAATACACATTAGGTTAATAATGTCCAGGGTGTGATGCAGAGTGGACGCTCTGAAACCCCACGCATACAGCAAGGCATGTGTATATACATGCACCCGAACTTGGGTCCTCTGGATGGCTCTGAAAGGGCCGGATCTGGAGGGCTGGTCTTGTCCCTGGTGCGGGCCCTCGGCCCGACTGTCTCTCAGGCTCCGGGTAGTGAGGTAGCAGCGCAACCTCCTAACTCCGGGGTCAAACAAAAGTCCCGCATCCTCGCGCTGAAGAGAAGCAAGGAGCCAACGTCAGGGCGTGGTGAGGCCGCCTGGGGGATGTTGATACGAAATTGGAAATTACGTATTTCCAATCTGGCCAGGAATGTGCCAGAGCTGGGAACCCAGCCCAACCGGCTGCGGTGGACTAGAGCCGCAACTGTTCCCCGCAACCGTTAGCCAACGATCCCGGCACTAGGAACGTTGACCCGGGGGATGCGCTCAGAGCCTCCTGGCGCGGCGCCTGGAAGCGAGCCGCGCGGGGCCTGCCGGGAAATGTAGTGTGCGCAGCCCCGCTGCCTGCGGGCTCAGCGCCGCCCGCGACTACAAGTCCCATCAGGGCCCGCGAGGCCTTGATTCCCTAGGCAGTTACAGGGAGGAGAGTATTTAACGGTACTGGCTGCAGTCCTGCGCTGTATGTCGTTTTCGTTATAAAATACCGGCATGGGAATCATTACCTTGAGTTCTGGTCTCTCCTCTGGGTCTCCTGCTGGATTTTATCTGACGTAATTATTCCGTGATGTATTGAGGACACAACCCTGACTTGCTAGGGGCAAGATGCTTGGCCGACCTTAAAGTATTGGTTTCCCTTTTTGTTTTTAGCCTTGATAAACTGAAATGCTTTGAGGAAGGTGAGGATCCGGAAGTCATCCCAGAAGATACTGACCTGGTGACTTTGGGGTATGGAGGACTTTGCACTTACTATGTGCTAGTCACTTAAACATTTTTTTCCACATTATATTTTGAAAAGTTGTTAAGTGTAGAATCATTATACATATACCCACTCCTTAAATTCAGCCACTGTTAACATTTAGCCATATTTGCTTTAGCTGTATGTGTATGGGTTGCCTGCTGTGTATCTTTTTCTTTTACTTGTACCATTCAATAAGTTGCAGACATCATGATAATTTGCCCCTGAATATATCAGAATATAGCTCCCACATACCATTCTCCTAAGAAAATTAACAATAAATAATCTCTAATATCCAGTCCATATTCAAATTTGTGCTCATTTTTGAATGTGTATTTGCAAAGAGTAAATCTTAGATTTGAGGTGCAAGCTAAATATCTGGTAGTGTTTTCCAAACTATCTGTGATAAAGGACCAGTTTTTGAAATTTTTAATCTTTGACAGATCCATATTTTGTAAAATACTATAAAAGAGAATGACTAAACTAAGAAATTTGAAGGGAAAATACGAGTTCAATTTTTTTATTATTAAATTCAATAGACATAAAATTACTATAGACTTACAATGAAAGTTTCTAAGCACTTTCATTTTGTGTACAGATTGGATAACATATAGTTCAAAGATCAATTACAATCTGCCTACCACACTTTGAGAAGCACTGCTCCATGATAATACTATAGAAAAATTGTGCATGTTATAGCAAAATTTATAATTTCACACCATTTCATCTGTGTTCTGTCATTCTCGATCCTACCCCTTCTATTAACCACCTCAAATAGTTGGGTAGTTATTTCAACTCTACCTGGGTTTTCTTTTGTAATAACTGCCAAATCTGTTCCCCTGATCCCCATTGCTAACATTTACATTAGCAACACTTGGAGTGCTATGAAAGGCTTTTGTCTTTTCTTAGTAAGCTTTTTCTTCTATTATGCTACCTGAGTATGCTATTTTAAAATTTCAAATTAAACCCAAAGGAGAAAATAAATCTCTTACCTTTGGCTGGGCATGGTGGCTCACGACGGTAATCCTAGCACTCTGGGAGGCTGAGGTGGGAGGATTGTTCAAGGTCAGGAGTTCGAAGCCAGCCTGAGCAAGAGCGAGACCCTGTCTCTACTATAAATAGAAAGAAATTAATTGGCCAACTAATATATTAATATAACATATTAATATATTATTAATTAATTGGCCAACTAATATAAAAAAATTAGCTGGGCATGGTGGCGCATGCCTGTAGTCCCAGCTACTTGGGAGGCTGAGGCAGTAGGATCACTTGAACCCAGGAGTTTGAGGTTGCTGTGAGCTAGGCTGATGCCACGGCACTTACTCTAGCCTGGGCAACAAAGCAAGACTCTGTCTCAATTTGGTATGCAAATAGTAATAAGTGGTCTGTGCTGATCCATTTGCACCTGCCTGTACAGAGTAACGGGGAGGGTGGAAGTTGGTACTGGAAGAAAAGGACTTTTAAAATTTTTTCTGGAGTCCAACTTTTTCTTCAACTTAAAGTTCTTTAGCACTGCACTCTAGCCAGCTGTTAAAAGGACAAGGGTTTCCATCATCTGGTCTCCTTTACCTCTTTGTCCTATCTCCTCTCTCCTACTCACTGCACTGGTCGTCCCAGGTGTCTCTTTGCTGTTCTTTAAACACACCAGGGACACTCCAGCCTCAGGAACTTGGCACTGGCTGTTCTCTTTGCCTAGAACACTTTTCTTCCAAATATCCATATGAGTAATGCTCTCACCCCCTCATCTTGTTTGGTGTCATCTCAGTGAGGCTTACTCTGACTACCTTGGCCCTCCCAATCCCCTTAACCCTGATCTAATTTTTTTCCATTGCATTAGTTATCCTCTCACATAATATATAATTTACATATTTCTTAATGTTTACTGGGTTTTGTCAATTTCCCCTGTGATACTAAAAGCTCTATGAGAGCAGGAATGTGTGTTTGTTAATTGATACTATTCCAAATATCTAGAACATGCAAGTCATTTATTATACGTGTCCAATAATTATTGGTTGAATTACTGAGTGATTAAATGAGACAAGTGGGTAAAGCATGTAGTAGAAGAATGCCTGACATATAATAAGTAATACATAAATATTAGTCATCATCAATATTAATGGTCTATTTATAGTCTTCTCATTTATCATTTCTATCCCTGTGTCGTCAGCCTCTCCTGTCCATAGTTCATTCAAGTGAGATTGTCTTCTTTCTCCTTTTAAAAAAGCTTAGACGACTTTCTTAAAGGGACATGTAATGAAAAGAGTCTGGGCTTAGAAGTGAGAATTAAAAATGGGAGCTGGACCAAGCATGGTAGCTCACTCCTGTAATCTCAGCATTCCAGGAGGCTGAGAGGGAGGATCACTGGAGGCCAGGAATTTGAAACCAGCCTGGGCAACATAGCGAGACCCTCTCTCTCCAAAAACCAAAAAAATTAACTGGGCATGGTGGTATGTGTCTGTAGTCCCAGCTACTTGGAAGGCTGAGGCAGCTGGATCACTCCACACAGTCTAGCTGTTTTTTTTTTAAACCACACTGTGTTGAATTATTAGCAGCATAATGTAGAAAGAAATTGGGAATCCAGATTTTCTTTGGATTTCTCACTGTTAAGTGGCTGCATCTGGTGAACAATGACAGCTGTTCTGCTGCTTTCCAGGCCATGGTGAGGATCAGTTGTGAGGGTGTGCTTGCTAGCATGTGGAGAAGTTAAGCTCTGTATGATCGGAAGGTGGTCCTTTTACTCCTATTTTATCTGACAGCTGCATATTCAAAGTGTCTAATTACTTTCTAAACACCCATTTGAACTTCAACACTTGATATTTTTCTTTTCAACATTCTCTTATTTTCCTCATAAGTTTGTATCATGTGGTAAAATTCCTTTGAAGTGCTAGCTACTGTAGGATGAAAATTAATGTAGCAATGTTTTGTTTCTTCAACTAGAGGCTCTTAAAACTTGGCAAGTACTATGTGTTCTCTCATTTCTTTATCCTTGTGTATGTGTATTGTAGCACCCGTCACAGGGAGATGGGCATGAAGAAGCTACCTCTCCCACCCGCAGCTCTGGAACTTGGTGTGGAAACTCTGTAGCTTCCTGTGCAGATGAAGAACCTGTCATCAGAAACTACAGACTATTGAAAACAATCGGCAAATGGAATTTTGCAAAACTGAAGTTGGCAAGACATGTCCTCACAGGCAGAGAGGTAAATACGAATTATGCTTATTTCTGTTGTAACATTTGCTTTTTTTTTTTTGAGACAGAGTCTCGCTTTGTTGTCCAGGCTAGAGTGAGTGCCGTGGCATCAGCCTAGCTCATAGCAACCTCAAACTCCTGGGCTCAAGCAATCCTGCTGCCTCAGCCTCCCGAGTAGCGGGGACTACAGGCATGCACCACCATGCCCGGCTAATTTTTTTTAATATATTAGTTGGCCAATTAATTTCTTTCTATTTATAGTAGAGACAGGGTCTGGCTCCTGCTCAGGCTGGTTTCAAACTTCTGACCTCGAGCAATCTGCCTGCCTTGGCCTCCCAGAGTGCTAGGATTACAGGCATGAGCCACCTCGCCCCGCCAACATTTGCTTTTTATTTCCATGTGAGACAAAGAGGAAAAATGTACATATTTGGGCTAGTGTCTAAGCTACTTAAAACTTTTTTTATAAAAAACATGAAACACATATTGTCTGAGAGTTCTTTTGCTTTCCCATTGCTTTAAATGTTATGAATATTATATTAAGTATTCGAACAGTCTTTACCTTTAAAAATGTGTAGCATTTTGTTCTTTTTTAATAGTAAATGTCTGCCACCACAATAGAAATTGCCTTGAACTTCAGGTATGCACTTATGTGTATGTACTCATGGTACTTGCAAATCAATAGCATTGTGTATATTTACAAATTTATCCTGAGGAGGTTTCTTCCTTAGTAGTTTTTTTGTAGCTATGTTTGATGGGTTATAGTGCAAGAAGGCAAATACTTTCCTTAACTTTCTGATAATGGGTTTTTGCTCAACCTTATTTATTACTTATCAGAATACATCCATTAAAACCATAAAATTAATTCTTGCTCACATTTTTCTTGTGTGGTACAGAGCTTGCTTTGCTGCTTTGACATAGTTTCTTGCATTTAGGTCTTTGTACCTGCCGTTCTCTCTGCCTATTCCTCACCTTTCTGTGTAGAGATCACTTCTGGAAAGTTGTCATTGAGAGACCCCCTTCCTCAGGCATATGACTCAATAAAAATTCTGATGCTTCCCTTGCATGACACAAATTGCATTGTATTGGAATTACTTATTTGTCTCTTCGCCTAGTCTTGTAGGTACTCCTAATCTGTAGGGGTAGCCAGCAGCACTTAACATCATGCTCAGCACCTGTTAGGTACTTAAGAAACATTTGTTGAATGAGTGTAATAATTGCTTTTGAAGGAAGCTTTTAAAAGAAATGCTCTTTCTGTGTCATACCTTCCTGGTGGATGTCCCAAGACTGTGTGATAGATGTGCCATGGCACTGATGCCCACAGCCCCCCTGGCTTGGGAACCTGCAGTTTGCACAGGCTTCCTAGTGATTCTAATGCAGGTGACCTAAAGTCCACATTTAGGAACACACTGCTTTGGCCAGAATGGATCACTTGGTCTTTGTCTTTGTCTTCCTTAAATACCTTAATTGGTTTCACCTCCCCATGTTTGCTCACATACACAGAGCACTTGTACCCCATTTTCAACTGTAGACATCCTTTTTTAAGTCCTGCCTAAGTCTAGTACCTTCATGGTTTCCGCTGGCTTAAACAGAAGTGAGCTCTCCCTCCCTCAGATTCCTTTGAGAGCCCATCTTTTTCCTGCTTTTGGCTCTAATTCACTTTGTCTCAATTCCATTGCACTGCTAGTAGGGATTTAAATGATTGCCTTCATTATATCCTGCAATATAAAAGACTGGCATGCTCTCCCTGCTTTTTGTATAAATTTAATTTTAAATATTAACAAAATAAATTAGATATGCACAGTGGTGACGTGATAACTTCAGAGATTTGCTTCAGTTTAATTTAAAAATGTACATCTTTCTAATTGATGTGTTACAACTTTATGAATTAGCAGTAAGAGAAATATTTCTACCTGTAACAAGGGACTGCTATAGCAAAATCACACTGACCAACTAACAGTCATTCTTTAAGAAAAGTTCTTTTTCAATTAATTGCAGTATAATACCTTCTATTAATATAATACTTCTTTCCATCTCTGGCTTCAGAATAGTAACTAAATAACCTTGTTCTTTTAGAGTTGTGGTCAGTTTCCGAAACAACAAAGATCTGAAGTGGAATTATATCCTTAAAGCCGTAATGACTAGTGAATGGATCTTTAGTTGTAGGAGTCGAGTAGATCCTTAGTGACTGCTGCAGGTTGAGAGACTGACCAAAAGTGGTTGAGACCACTTTTCCTAAGGTGCAAAGGGTGAGCAAGTAGACAACAAGCAAATAAAGTCTCACTGAGTACCCAGAAATGATCTTTATTTTTGTGGAATTCCATGATTTAAAAAAGCCTTTCTGTTGTAATATTTGATAAAATTCCTTAAAAGCATTTTTTAGAGGGCCAGCTATTAAAATCTTCAACAGGGAAAAAGTTGCTTTTGATGGTTACAGTTTATATACACATGGCTTGTGCATACAAACATTTATTTCTTTTTTTTCTCCCCTCCCCAGTAAAATTATTTGAAATCTTTCAAATTGGAAAAACCCTCTACATAGTTATGGAGTATGCAAGTAGAGGTAAGAACATTTATATATTATATATTGGGTTTTTTTTTCTTTTTACTGTTTTAAAAGAATACGCAACCACAGTGCCCATATAATTGTTAAGGTTTCATTTAACATCCAGAGTCATAATACACTAGGATGAGAGTCAAAAAAGCTGACTCTTAGCAATTCTATGGGTTGCCATTAAGTGTTTCAGTATTAGCTTTGTTAATTGATAATATCCAAGACCTTGGATTTTTTTTATTGTGGAAAAATATACATCACATAAAATTTACCATTGTAACCATTCATGTGTACAATTCAGTGGCTTTTGCAGCCCTTACCACCATCCATCTCCAAAACGTTTTCATCTTACCAAAGTTAAACACTAACTCCACATTTCCCACTTCCCTACCTCCTAGCAACCACCATTCTACTCTGCCCCTATGAGTTTGACTACTCTAGGTACCTCATATAGGGATTGCAGTATTTGTCCTTTTGTGACCAGCTTATTTCTCATAGCATAATGTCTTCAAGTTTCATCCATGTTGTGGCATATGTCAGAATTTCCTCCATTTCTAAGGCTGAATAGTGTTCCATTGTGTATAGAACACAAACATTTTGTTTATCCCAAGTATTTGGATTTTTAAATGTATTAATGCATTAGTCTGTTTGAAATAAATGTGTACTGTGGTGTAGATGCATTTCCTTATCAGATTTTAGTATGTCATTGGTGTCCATCTTTCCCAAGGCCAGAAATGATGGTTACAGTACATATGACTAGGTTTTCCTTAAAATAAAGATTAAGGACTGGTAATTATTTGCCTATAAGGTTGTAAAAATGTAGACATTTTCTGAAATGCATGTATATAGCTTCTATCTTTTATAAACATTCTCATCTTATAGTTGAGGTTGGGCTGGGCTTGTAGTTTTTGGACCGCATGTGAGTTTCATTCTCTGTGGAGGGCAGAAGCTTTCTAGTTTATCCTTTTGTGTTCTCTGCCTCGAGCACAGTGCCTGGCATGGAGCAGATACTCAACAAATAAGAATTGGGCATATGAAATTATAAATTACTGGATGTGCATTCTGTTGAACTCTATAGTATAGTAGTTTTATCATTAGCCTTTTGATCCAGGTTGTAAAACCTGGAGATAGAAAGTTATATTGTAGTAAGTTAACCATTAAATGAGAGACTGTAAACTTGTTATGAGAAAGAATGAGTTTTAATAGGCATACCTCTGACACCACTTTTTCATACTCCTGATTCACTATTAGTTGTGTATTTCACATTTTAAATCTGTAGTTTGGAAATTTGGTTGGAATTTTCAAACTTCAGGAGTTGTAGGAAGAACTGCAGGTTAATTACAGGACCACAAATATATATGGAGTTTTAACACTTCCTACTCATCTTATAGGCAGACAACATAGAGTAACGTTTATACCATTCTTTTTTTTTTTTTTTTCTGAGACACAGTCTCACTTTGTTGCCCAGGCTAGAGTGAGTGCTGTGGCATCAGCCTAGCTCACAGCAACCTCAATCTCCTGGGCTCAAGCGATCCTATTGCCTTAGCCTCCCGAGTAGTTGGGACTACAGGCATGCACCACCATGCCTGGCTAATTTTTTCTCTATATATTTTTAGTTGGTCAATTAATTTCTTTCTATTTTTAGTAGAGACGGGGTCTTGCTCAGGCTGGTTTCGAACTCCTGACCTCGAGCAATCTGCCTGCCTCAGCCTCCCAGAGTGCTAGGATTATAAACTTCTTATTGTATGGCCTCTACAGTGTACAAAGTGTTTTCTCTCACCTGATCTCCTTTGCTTTTCACTATAACTTCATGATGTGGCTGGGCAGTGAGCAGTGGGCTTTTACCCTTGAGGAAATGGAAGCTGGGGAGACTCACTGTGGGCTTGCTGCCTGTCATGGCTTTCTTTTCCCATCTATTGTAGGTACCCGGGTCGTAGAGATTACTCATACAGGGACAAGACAAAACAACTGAGAAGCATCCATGTTTAGTAGAAAGAGGATGGGCTTTAGAAAAGACAGACACAGGGTAAAGGCAGCCAGTGGCCCTCATTGACCTGACAAGTAACATGTTGCACTGAGCTTCATGGTGGGCTTGGTGACCCAGCCTTCTCGAAGGGCTCAGTGCATTGTGCAGCATTATAGCAGCATTTAATGGATGGTGGTAGTTGTTTATTATCTTGGGCTACTTGTTTTTATCAGCTGAACAAAGTACTGTCAATCTCCAGGATTTCTGTTTTATTGTTGATGTATTTGCCTTTGTGAAAAATTCATTAAACTGACTACCCATTCCCCTCCAGGCTTATGCTTTTTGATATGACAGAATCATAGAATTTTAGAATTAGAAAAAATCTTAGAAATTATCTAGGGCAACTGTCTAATTTTTACAAATAAAACTAAAGCTCAGGTTGTTCTCTGCCAAGGGTTCCATAGCTAAGTTAGTTACAGAACCTGAACTAGAACTAAAGGTTCTCTGAACTGTGCTATGCAAGGTTCACCTAGCCATCTTGCCTGACCTGGGCAAGAGAACCATTGCTTGTTTTTGTTTGTTTGTTTGTTTTTTACCCCTCTCCTTAATAAATAGCCTTAGAGGTTTTCATTTCAGCTGCTTAATCTGAGTATTAACACATTTTTAATAATGAATAAAAAGAAAGATTTAGGTTGAATTTCTGGTTTAATAGTTGAAGTCCTGATGTATAACTTAGTGATTATGAGTGTGACTTTATGGTTCCAGAAATCTCTTAAGAGGCTTATATTGCATTTGGATTTAGAAAAAAAAATATTTTAAAATTATATTGACAGGCTTGGACTTTATGTTACTATACAACACCTAGTAAGCTTAATACATTACTTTTTAAAGTCAAAATTGTTTTCTGTATAATTGCACACATCTTTAGTTGTTTTTACTTATTAACCACTTTTTTGACATTGTGTACTTTTCTGCAAATAGAAAGGTCATTCATTTAGAAAATGCTGACATTTTACTGAGCTGACATTTAACTTCATTAATTCATCATAGTTAAGTGAATTGGGTAGTATAAATTGATGGTAGGTAATGTCTTTTAAAAAATCATTATACAATCAAATGATAATATGAAAATATTTATGCCTATTCATTATTTAAAATTTATTTATTCAGAGTTATGGTTGAGAGTTTAAAAGTCAGAGACATTAATGTATAATTCAAGTATCAGAATATTTTAGTTGAATGTTGTCACTAAGCTGATGGAGGTATTCCTTGTATCTGAAGTAGATGTGTTCTTTCCCAGAAACACTTTATGTCTAATTTTCTAAATTAGTATTATATTCTGTTGGTTTCAGAGGTGGTGTTTCTTTATTCTAAATTGATAAGCAGTTGGCAGTACTAATAATACATTTCTCAAAATGTCACCTTTCTTCCTCAAAGAATTGATATTGTATAAACTGCCACCAAAATGTCTATCCATATGTTCTGTTGACTTCACCTCACTGTGTCCTGAGCCCCCACTTCTCACCACCACTGCACTTCCCACTCTTGTCCCAGTCACTCTCATACTTGGCTCCATTGTTGGATTAGTCTCCCCACTGGTTTCCTTGTCCCTACCCTTCATCCTAACCTCTTTCCCCCTCTGGCAGCTGGTGATCTGTTTAAGAGGTCGGTCATTTCATCTTCTCTGCTTCTTGTCTCACTTAGAGGAAAGCCAGAGTCCTTCCAAAAGCTGCAAGACATTTCCTGGCCTCATCACCTACCTCTCTTCCCCTCACTCATGCTTCTCCAACCCTGTGACCTCCTTGCTGTTCATTACTTGATATAGAATCTTACCCCAGATAACTACATTGTCCACTCCCTCAATAGTCAGCAAAGTGCAAGCAGGTAAGCGTACACACATATGCACATACACGCACACACACTCTCTTGCACTCACACACTCACTCCCCCTGTTTCTTTTTTCTTTTTTTTTTTTTTTGAGACAGAGTCTCACACTGTTGCCCAGGCTAGAGTGCCGTGGCATCAGCCTAGCTCACAGCAACCTCAAACTCCTGGGCTCAAGCAATCCTCAGCTTCCCGAGTGGCTGGGACTACAGACATGCACCACCATGCCCGGCCAATTTTTTCTATATATTTTTAGTTGGCCAATTAATGTCTTTCTATTTTTTAGTAGAGATGGGGGGGGGGTCTCACTCTTGCTCAGGCTGGTTTTGAACTCCTGACCTTGAGCGATCCTCCCACCTTGGCTTCCCAGAGTGCTAGGATTACAGGCGTGAGCCACTGTGCCCAGCCTAACTCCACCTGTTTCTTTCCCCTGCTTTTTCTCGGCAGCACTTGTTATCCTCTATATACTATATACTATATCCTATACTATATAGTATATCCTCTATATACTATACTATATACTATATACTATATATTGATTTGTTTGTTGTCTTTCTGCCCTTACTGGAATATAAACTCTATGAGGCTAGGGACTTTTCTATGTTCACTGCTATGTTTCCCCGGAGCCTAGAACAGTGCCTGGCCATTAGTAGGCCCCCAATACAAACTTGTTGAATGAATGAATATACTCAGGAAATGCATTTGATGTCAGTGAAGACATCCTCTTTTAACACAAATAACTTCATCCATTTTGACTTTCAATTTTCATTCATCACTTTTTATTAAAGCATATTGAAAACATATACCCTTTAAAATAAAAATTATATAACTTAAGCATATAAGAATTTAATTTTAAGGTTTTTCTCCAGCTTAAAGATTTATTGGTGAACTTAAATGCTTATAGTTAAAGTTAAGGACAGCTTAGTTTAAATTCCACATATTTCTGGCTAACTTTATGCCTATATTTAAAAATTAGAACATTGCTAAAAGTGAAACATCAATTTTTTAAAGCATACTCTAAATTTTTTTTTTTTTTTTTGAGACAGAGTCTCGCTTTGTTGCCTAGGCTAGAGTGAGTGCCGTGGCGTCAGCCTAGCTCATAGCAACCTCAAACTCCTGGGCTCAAGCAATCCTTCTGCCTCAGCCTCCTGAGTAGCTGGGACTACAGGCATGCGCCACCATGCCCGGCTAATTTTTTCTATATATATTAGTTGGCCAATTAATTTCTTTCTATTTATAGTAGAGACAGGGTCTCGCTCTTGCTCAGGCTGGTTTCGAACTCCTGACCTCCAGCAATCCGCCCGCCTCGGCCTCCCAGAGAGCTAGGATTACAGGCGTGAGCCACCGTGCCCAGCCTCTAAATTTTTTTAGTAGTAATTTTGAGGGCTTGAATATGTGTTTGCCTCAAAAGTGATAATAATTAGTATTTATTCTTTGGAATTGGAATTTTTCCCATGAAGTTTAAAGAACACTATAAATTCTTTTATTTCAATTTTTTTAAATTTCAGAATATTAGGAGGATACTGAAACATTATCATTTATGGGAAAATTAATGCTCAGAAGTGGGACTTCTGCTTACTTTTATTTCTTTCAATTATAGGTGAAGTATTTGATTATTTGTTTGCATCGGAATAATGGAGAAAAAAGAAGCAAGACAGGTATGAATTAGACAGGTATGAATTATTTTAGACAGGCATGAATTAGTGCATCTTTCGTTTGTTAATTTAACAAGTATTTGCCTCTATAAATGCTTAGAAGGCTCACTGGATGGCAGGAATTGGCCATTCAGTTCAATAAAAATGTTTTAAGTGTCCTTCCTACCCAAGTTACTGTGCTAGAGGTGGCATGGATTCTATTCCTAGCTTTGTAATGTCAACATTAGTCTCACTCTTAACTTTCAGTTTTGACTATTGAGCCTCAGAAATTTAGAGCTTTTCAAAAATATCTATGATTACATTAATTACAACAATTTAAAAATTTTTAGCAAGAAGAATGACACAATCCCAAAATTCATTATTATAATAGTTTTGTCTTACATACCAAGACCAAATATAACTTAATCTGTTAATTAGTGATTTTCCTCTTTGTTTTATCTTTACCTTGCTATTTAAGGAGACGGGTTTTAATGAGCAGGTTTTAAGTGTAAGGTAACTAAACTCTTCTGTCTTTATTAATAATAATTACTATTATTGACTGATCATGCTGGACACTGGGATGAGTGTTTTACCTACATAAATGTAAATCTTGCCAGCAGCCTTGTGAATTAAGGAGTATTATGCCCATTTGCTAAAAATAAGACAACTAAGGCATGAGAAAATTAAATAACATGCCCCCAAATTCAGTACCTGTCAAGTAGCAGACCTTTCATAGACCCAGGCCCTCTGACTCCTAAACTCAAAGTTGCAGGAAACAGCAAACTCTTTACAAAGAGCCAAACAGTGAACATTTTAGGCTTTGTGGTCCATGCAGTCTCTGTTGCAACGATTTAACTCTCCTGTTGTAGCATAGAAGCAGCTGTAGACAATACTAAATGAATGAACATGACTATATTCCAATAAAGCTTTATTTACAAAAACAGAGATGGGCCAGATGTAGCCCAAGAGCCATAATTTGCCAACCCCTAATTGAGATGCAGGAAAAGAGTGAGTGTTTTACTGCTTTTAAATTAACTCTGTACAAGGTCCACATCGAAATGGCATTGGGGCCTCATTTCTCTCAGAACCTTTAAATTTTGTTTTATTCACATGTAAGGTTGTTATGATGGATAGAAGTCTTAAAGTTTCACATTTGGAAAGGTGGTTTTAGCTGATTTTCGTTTTCTCTTAACAGTGCCTCCTTTGATTTGCTTAGTCTGATGTTTACAGTTAAGGACTCATAAGTTTCTTAACTTTTGCTATTGCTTAAATTTAAAAGCGTAAGAAATACAAGTGGTACTTTGAATTAAAATCTATTAAATATCAAAGTTGAAACTAACTTTGGCTATCATTTAACTTCTCTGATCCTCAGCTTTTTTTAGCTATAAAAAATGGAAATTCTACTTGATGAATTCTCTAGTTGTTTCTGGTTCTAATATTTGATTCTGTGGTCTATGAAAGGAAATTAAAATTTTTATTAGAAAACAAATCTGTTTGGTCTTTTTCATAACTGCTTTTAATTTTTATAAATTAGCCACCTAAGAGCCAATATTTTTGCTTCATACAATTTAAATTCCTTCCTACATAGATGAATCTGCCTTGTAAACATTTATGTGATTATGGCTTATTGAGCATGAGGAAAGGCTGATGTCAGGCAGCAAGAGCATGTCTGTGTCCAGGCCCTCTCCAAGGAAGCAGTTTGGTGCTTAACCCCACAGCTTCAGTTCTCTACTAAGCCCCATCTGCCACCTGGTGGGATCCAATTCATCAGAAAGACTTAGGCATTTACTAAGCTTAATCTTGAGGAAATTACTCTGGGTTTTTTATTGTTATTTTGGTTTTGTTTTTTTTAAGAGATGGGGTCTTGGTGTGTTGCCCAGGTTGGATTGAAACTCCTGGCCGCAAGCCATCCACCCACCCTAGCCTCCCAAGTAGCTGGGACTACAGGCACATGCCACTGTGCCCAACTTCTGATTTTTGCTTTTATTGTAAATTCCCTGCAGAAATTCTGAAGCCTTTATTTAAGAAACCTATTAATATTAGTTGGACCAGGAAAGATGGTTTGTGTGTGTGCTTTTATAATTAATGGCCCGATTTACAGTGCTTAGAATTAATGTAATCCCTTTTCCTTGCTGTGGTGTTTGCCTAAGACAGCTCCTTCAGACCTGGAAGAATCAAGCGGATATTGGTGTTTCTATTTTTCTCTGTTTCTAATTGCCATGCATTCCAGGAGCTTATAAGTCATCATTACTTTGACTTACATAAAAAAATGTTTTCCTGTTTAAGACAAGGAACATAGGCCCTTCTTTCCATATTCATGAGCAGATGGATTTCCCTTCTCCTGCTTCCTTCACCATTCCCAGCCTGGTGACTACTTACGCCATTTTAGTTTTTTGGTTGAGCTCTTACTCTTTTCAGAGAAAAAGAATAGATTCCTAGCTCTATATTCTTTACTCATCTCTTTCTTGGTGCCTCTGTTCATTCATATGTGGCTGAAAGTGAATTAGGCTAACATTCATATTTTAACCTAGATGATATCCAGGTTCTCAACCTTCTCTAGAAATCACTGCTTATAGCTTAATAACATGGTACACACATATAATCCCAGCTACTCAGGAGGCTCAGGTGGGAGGATTGCTTAAGCCCAGGAATTTGAAACCAAGCCTGAGCCAACATAGCAAGACCTGCCTTAAAAGTTAAAAATAAATAAATATAAATGTAAAATGCTAAAGAAAAGACTAGAAGCAAATAAAAAACAAGAAGAGATGCTATCTTCATTTAGTGATAATACTGGTATATATTTGTATCTACTTTTCTGTATTTCCTAAATTTCTATAATAAGAATATAAAACTTTACAATTAGAAAAGGAGACTTTTTAAAAAAAGTTACATAGTAAATGTGAAATTTCAGTAAAACAGTTGTTTAACAGTGCTAACCACAGGAATAATTGCAAGTTGACTAAAGCACACTATTTGCTGAAAGTGGGAGGAATCCTTTTTAATAGTGCACACCGTAATTTTCATAGTGCACACAGTAATTTTCATAGTTCACATGTTACAACATTCATTCTTCCATTTTAAGGAAGAGGAAACTGATCCTCAGAGCGGTTAAGTAAGTCTATTAACTATGCATAGTTTGGTTTTCAGTTGGTTACACAGTCATGGGAAGGTCACACCAGAGCCATCTGGTACTGGGCCTGGGGGCAGCCAAGGTCCTCCAGATCCAGGCAATTTGTTGGATCCTGGCATTACGCTCAAAAACAAGTGGAATGTCAACAGGTAGAGTCCAAGAATAGACTTATATTTAAAACTGGAGAGTAAAACTAGAGAGAACAGGATATCCTCACCTATGTCTTCTTGCCCTCACCCCTGAATTTCTCCAGATCAAAAAGTTCAAGGCATAAAAAAATTGTTTTTAGAAATCCACACATTTGATAAAAAGAAAAAATTCTTCCAAAAAAACAAAAAAATCCATATATTCAGGTGCTTACTGAGTATTTTGCATGTGTGATGATGTGTGAACATTAGCGAAGTTATTTTCATCTTAATTACACAGCTGCACCTGTGAGGACTGACCCTTGCGTCTCTCCTTATTCAGGTCGTGTCTGCAGTCGAATATGCACCACAAGCACGCCGTTCACAGAGACCTCAAGGTGCGTGGAAGTGTCCTAAGTATATGCTCTATTTGTATGTGTTCGAATTTCTCCTTACACAAATGAGGCATAGATTAGATTTTGTTATTAAATAAGACAGAAGTAAATCTCATAATCAAATCCTTTTAAGGAAGTTATAGTAGAGCATTAAAAATAAAGTGAAGGCCGGGCGCTGTGGCTCACGCCTGTAATCCTAGCTCTTGGGAGGCCGAGGCGGGCGGATTGCTCAAGGTCAGGAGTTCGAAACCAGCCTGAGCAAGAGCGAGACCCCGTCTCTACTATAAATAGAAATAAATTAATTGGCCAACTGATATATATATAAAAAATTAGCCGGGCATGGTGGCGCATGCCTGTAGTCCCAGCTACCCGGGAGGCTGAGGCAGAAGGATCACTCGAGCCCAGGAGTTTGAGGTTGCTGTGAGCTAGGCTGACGCCACGGCACTCACTCTAGCCTGGGCAACAAAGCGAGACTCTGTCTCAAAAAAAAAAAAAAAAAAAAAAAAAAATAAAGTGAAGTTTATGAGAAGTATTTTGCATTTTGGTTAAGGTGCTGGTGGTTGATCTCTAGAGGACAGTCCTCACACAGCCAAAGAGATAAGGGCCTCCACAAGTGTGTGGCCACACCTGGACAGTGTCCTCAGGGCCGCCTGGATTCTCTTCTGCTTCTCTAGGCAGCAGTCTCCTGTTAACAGCTATGCCTGTTTGAGACTTTCACAGCCTCCACCCTGGCATAGGATGAGGTTTCCTATCTCACAGAGCAAATGGAAATGCCAGGCAGAAACTTCCTCAGTTTTCCAGCAGGCCCTCAAACGTAGGTGCACCTACACCCATCCTTTACCCGTCCTCTCGTTACAGGAAAGTAGGGTACCTCTGCTGACCCTGCCTCTGTGTTGTGGGTCTTCTTTCCCTCGGTGGGCTGTGCTCTGTCCGCTGCCTCTTTTCTCTCCATTTTTTTCATTTGCTCGCTCTCTCTCTCTCTGCTTGCCTCTCACTGGCAGCATATATATAACACAGGCTCAAGTCTATACCATCTTTTTACCAAAAAACCTCCCCACCCCTGGCCCCCTTCTAAGTACACCCTTTTGCTCTCTTCACAGTCACAGCATATTTCTCTAAACATTTTCTAGACTCCATGTCTTAGCTTGGTCCTCACCCCCACTCTCTCCTTACATGACTGTCAGTGACTTGCTCATTCCTCTCCGTGCCCACCCTCGGTGTGTTTGTGTTCCTACGTTAGCTGCAGTGGCTGCCTGTGTGCTGATGACCCCCAGGTCCCTTCCTGCAGCACCAGGGTTCTCACAGGGTCCAGGGCCCACCTGACACAAGCCATCCATCTTCACCTGAGCGTCCCTCAGTCACCTCAGGTGCAGCAAGTTCAAAGCCTAAACTCCAGGGGGGGAAGGGCATTTATTGAAACCTTAAAATCTGTACCCCCATAATATGCCGAAATAAAAAAAAAAAAAGCCTAAACTCCTCCTTCATGAATATTCACTTAGTCTGGTGACTGATGTCCCTCAGGTGTCCCTCTTTTCCATCCACTTAGTCACCAGGTCCTTTTGCTGCTGTTCTCTAAATCTCTCTTACACCCACTCAGTCTTTTCTGTCTCTGTTACACTATCCTAGGCCAGACACCACCATCTCATACTTGATTATAACACTAGTTTCTTGCCTGTTCTCTGCTTCCACTTTTGCCTCTTCTTCTCATGTATGTTTTCCACATTGCACCCAGAATGGACTTTTTTTAAAGCGCAAATAAGATTGTCATTTCTTTGCTTAAACAACTTTTCAGTGGCTTCCATTGCTCTTAGGATGAAAACCCAAACTTCTTGAGTACAGCCCTTTGTGGTTCAGCCCTGACATTCTCCCCAGCTATCTCTCTGCATCTCTTTCCTACACACCTTCAGTTTCTTGAGCTCTCTTCAGCTCTCTCTTATCTATCGGTGTGTTCTCAGACTCTTCTTTCTGCTTGAAACACTGCTCACCAACACACGCATGATGACCAGCTGTACCTTCTTGTGCTTTGATTTCACTTCCTCTGGGAAGCAGCCCATCCCTTTCAGCGCCAGGTCCATGGCCTGCATACCTCTTCACTTACACAGCACTGGGTCTCAGGGCAGCTGCTTATCTTTCTGCCCCTCCCCTTCTAAACTGTGAGCTCCTGAGGGCAGGGCCCTCTCTATCATGTCCAGACACTAATATGGTATCTGTTGTGTAGTAGCTACATGGTAAATATTTGTTGAAAGAAATGAAAGTGACTGTGATTTGTCTCTTGAATGGGGTTTGGGATTCACCCTTCCCCAATAATAGCCATTTTATAGCTATTTAGCAGTTTTTATGAAATGTGGCTATCCACTTAAAGCAAGTGCCAGTTTTTTAAAAGCCTCTTATTCTTAACTTAAAAACCTGTCAAAGGGCTGAGCGTAGTGGCTCATGCCCATAATCCCACCACTTTGGGTGACCCAGGAGAGAGGATTGCTTGAGGCCAGGAGTTCATGACCAGCATAGGCAACATAGCGAAACCTATCTCTACAAAAAATAAAAAATTAGCTGGGCGTGGTGGTGTGCACCTGTAGTCCCAGCTACTCAGGAGGCTGAGGCAGGAGGATTGCTTGAGCCCAGGAAGTTGAGGTTGCTGTGAGCCATGATTGCACCATTGCATTCCAGCCTGGGTGACAGAGCAAGGCCTTGTTTCTAAAAAGCAAACAAAAAACCTGTCAAAACTTTTCTTGATCTTGGGGCATTTGATGTTTAAATTAGAATTAATGATTATTATTTTAGCACTTCATGTCTATTATTGTTAATGTTATAAAATTAGGAGTTCTAATTTGTCTCCTGTTATTTTTTTCTCTAGAAAAAAATGTTTTCTCATTTTATTAATTAGGAAATATTAACTTTATATCATTATAAAAAGATTTTTTTATGAAATGCCTAACTTGTCATAGTTCTAATTATATTTTGGTTATATTTTATTTTTGTCTTGATATTTTCCCTCTAGGCTGAAAATCTATTGTTAGATGCCAATATGAACATTAAAGTAGCAGACTTTGGTTTAAGCAATGAATTTACTTTTGGCAGTAAACTCAACATGTTTTGTGACATTCCTCCATACTCAGCCCCGGAGCTCTTCCAGGGCAAGAAATACAATGGGCCTGAGGTTGAGGTCAACGTGTGGAATCTCGGGGTCATTCTCTACATGCTTGTCACAGGCTCACTTCTGTGTTGGGCAAAATGTGAAGGTATAAGAAGCAGTTGCATCCATGTACTATACAAAACTAAAAGGAGTTTCATAAAATTGTATGGATTTATATTTTTAATGTTATATCAGTTTAGGGGTTTCAGTGGGGTTTTTTGTTGCTTTTCACCTAAAAGTTGACTCACTAGTTTTCTTTCCTCTCTCCCTCCCCCAAAAAAAGTGGGAGAGTGCTTATTAAGAGTGACGTACAGAATCCCTTTCTATATGTCTACAGATTGTGAGAACTTTCTCAAATGTTTCCTGGTGCTCAATCCAATTAAATGAGGCACTCTAGAGGTAATCATGTAAGTGAAAATAAGTAATAACTTTGGAGAGCTTTTAGAGTATTTTTAGAACTTAGCTTGGTTTGTGTGGCATATTGAATACTTGCTTAGGACTTTTTAAGCAGGAATTGAGACATAAAAAAAATTTAAGTTACTCTTTGACCTATAGACAATGAAATGTTGAAAATAAATTTTCCTAAATATTGTGATTATCAGGATATTTTCTTTTGTGTGGCTGATGAACGGTTCACCTTTTCAGCTAATCATGAAAGACAGGTTGCTCAATGCAGGGCATGAGGAGGATTAACTTGAACCATTTGTTGAACCAGAACTAAACATGTCAGACCAAAAAAGAATAGGTAATTGCTCTGTGCCTACATGCTTATGTGTGCATATGTTTGTATAAGTAACATATTTCTGTTTTGACTCATGTATATGCCTAAAATGTAAATAATGGAACATTAAGCACGAGTTATATAATGAATCAGTTTATCTGTTCTGTCACATTTAGGAACTTAACTGTGGTTTCCTACAATAGCACCCAGTAACTCGGAAAGAGGTACTCATTTGTGTTAGAAAATGTGTGATCTTTTAGGTCAAATAAAGAAAATTATTTTACTCTGTAACAGAATGATTTCTTATCTAAATAAAACAGATAAACTGTATTATACCCTTCTTTTTTAGATATTTTGGTAAGAATGGGATATTCACAAGAAGAAATTCAAGAATCTCTCAGTAAAATGAAATATGAAATCACAGCCACATATTTGTTGTTGGGGAGAAAAATCTTCAGAAGTAAGAGTAATTAGAGAGGAAGAGCTGAAATACCGTTTATGTAAATTATCAGTTTATGTAAACTATTTTCATAGTTTTTGTTTTTTAAATATGTATAACATATTTGATATATCATTTTTTAAATTTACTGGCAAATACTAAACCAACTCCTATGACCATTATAAACTACTATTTTAACTTCAAAATAATAACCCTTAATAAGTAAACAGAACATTTTAAGCTATTTGAAAAAGCCTAGAAAGAAGATCATAGATACATAGCTTTTTGTCACTTTTTCCAGCAGTCAGAAAAATACTTTTGCCTGAGTTTATGGTGGTTATTTTTAAACATTGTCATTCTTCATCTCTCTAAATGAACTGTTTATGAGAGGTCTGTGTGTTATGAGTAGTTTCCTAATAAAACATTTGAGTTCATGTTGGGGTTGTTTTTCTCATTTTCTCTTAGTTGGATAGTAATGATTCCAGTTCTAGCAGCAGTCTTTCACTTGCTAAGGTTAGGCGGAGCAGTGATCTCAACAATCACACTGGCCAGTCTCCTCCACACAAAGTGCGGAGAAGTGTTTCTTCAAGCCAGAAGCAGAGATATTGCAGTGCCCATGGTAAGTTTGAAAATATTACAGTGTATTCTTTTGGAGTCTCCCTCCTAGCACTGGGAAGCATTCTCTCGCTCAGGGGCTGCCGAGGTTGGAGATTGGCTTTCAATCCCTTCCTGGCATTTCTTTCTTAGCATTCCTGCACCTACTGGCATGATTACCTCAAGGCTCTTCTACATGCAGTGGGCATTTGTTGGCTAAGGCTTAGCTGGGTAGGAACTTTACCATTCGCCCCCCTGGGACCCCCGCTTTACTTTGTAGTTCAGTTCACTCTCTTCTCTACCTCTACATTGGATTTACTTTCTAGAGCAGCACTGTCTAGTAGAACTTTCTGTAATGAAATTTTCTATCACTGTGCTGTCTAGTCAAGTAGCTACTAGCCACTTGTGATGAAAATGTTCTATAAAGGTGATGAAATGATGAAAATGTTCTCTATCTTGCTGTCCAGTCAAGTAGCTACTAGCCACTGGTGACTGTTGAGCACTTGAACTGAGGAAATGATTTTCAATGTTTTTTCTTAATTTTAACTAAGTTATATATATTTAGCCACATGTGGCCAGTGGCTATGATATTAGACAGGTAAGCCCTGGAGAATATGTAGTACCCCAGTTTTGCCTTAATTGGTTTAAATTTTTTACTATCTTCTTTTTCTTCTTCTTCTTCTTTTTCTTCTTTGTTTTGTTTTTTTTTTAATAAAACCCAGGTCATGATACTATGTCATTCTCATCCACACTCTTGTTATTTGGTGTGGTTAAATCACCCTTTCTTTCACACTTCACCATAGAAGCCAGTCCTTTATGAGGTTTAAGACCCCAGCGACTGTGTTTACCATGCTTTGCAGTTATTTTGCTTTCAAGGCAGCTATGTGTTAGAGTCCTGAGACTCTTGTGTCTGTGTTTGTTTATTCACCCATCACTAGAAATGTTTACATTGCTGGTATTTTCTTTAATTTCAGTGTTCTAGGATTTAGGGGCCAAATCTACATTGGTCTGGTCCTATATAACTTTTACAAGTATGTCCTTAAATGGAACCCCGTTCATCCCCATCCTTTCATTTCTCTTCTCTGAATATTTTACACCTTCATTCTTTTACCTTGAAGATTTGATTCTTAGAATTGCATAGAGCATTACAGCTTTGAGAGCTTGAACCCATTCTGACACTAGTATTCCTGCTCATAGCATTTGTAAATGAAGTGGGGGTTTTTTTTGTTTTTTTTGTTTTTTTTTTGAGACAATTCTCACTTTGTTGCCCAGGTTAGAGTGAGTGCTGTGGCATCAGCCTCGCTCACAGCAACCTCAATCTCCTGGGCTCAAGTGATTCTACTGCCTCAGCCTCCCGAGTAGCTGGGACTACAGGCATGTGCCATCATGCCTGGCTAATTTTTTGTATATATATTTTTAGTTGGTCAATTAATTTTTTTCTATTTTTAGTAGAGACAGGGTCTCGCTCAGGCTGGTTTTGAATTCCTCACCTTGAGCAAGCCTGCCTCAGCCTTCCAGAGTGCTAGGATTACAGGCGTGAGCCACCACACCGGCTGTAAATGAAATGCTGATCGCTGTCTTTGTCTCTTTTGTGTTTGTTAGTTGCTATTAATAAGGAGAGGTTTTTAGTGCCTGTGGATGGGAGGGCAATTAGCAATGCCTACATATTGCCCTAAAACCATCCAGTTTAAAGGGAACTGTTTCTAAAACCCAAAAGAAACCTGGTATGGAATTTTCTCCTTTCTCTAGGGAAGATCTTAATAAGTTAGTTCTTCCTTAAGCACATAGATTCCATCTGGATTATTAATGCCTTTCTTTCCCAGCTTATACAATTTTAGAGATTAAAAAAGCTTGAGACATGGTGTCACACATAACACTCACCAAACTCCCATCAACGGGAACAGAGGCCAAGAGAGGCCACCAGGTCTCCTGAGGTTGCATAGCATGTGAGGAACAACTGGGGGTGGAATCCAGGACTCTGGTCCTGTGGCTTTGTTAACTAAACCACCTCATTGGTGTATGCTTTTTATAATAATAATCATCCTTCTTTCTTGGAGTTTCTAATAGTAAAAAGAAGTTCATAAAAGAATATTTTCAGAAATTATTTATAAAGAAAATCACTTATTGACCCCAATCCTGGTGATTTTTTATTTTTTATGGGGATGGAGAGAGTGTTCAGCAAAGGAAAGATTTAACTATGCCTATGACACTGTTCTTTTAAGTGATAAAAATTAGATAGGTTCCAAACTTGATGCCTAGCAAAGTACTTCCACTTGATACCAGGTGAAGACAGGCAAGCCTGTAGCCAGGCCAGCTTTTAGCTTGTCCTCCAGCCTCTTCTCACCCTCCCCTTTGCCTGCTTCTGGGTGTCTACCTCTGCATATATGCCTGCTTCTCTCAAACCACAGCGTAATTTGTAGCTGTGCTTCTTAATTTGGAACCTGTGTGTGAACGCTTATGTGTGTGTTCTTATACACTTTTCTGGGAAGGATGATTTTTATCAGGGTTTCAAGAGGTTCTTTAGCTTGTTTTTTGTTTGTTTGTTTGTTTGTTTGTTTTAAATCACGGGTTTACTAATCAGTAAATGGTATTGGGGCAAGTTGGTAGTCTTAGGAAAAAAAATTAATTTGTATCTATTTATCACATCTTATACAAGGATAAATTCCAATTGGAGTGAAGATAGAAATATAAAAAAATAAAACCCAGAAATATGAAAAGATGTTTCCTGGACATACTAAAAGAAAATGTGGGATGATTTGCTTCATAACTGGGACTGGTAAAGGTCTTTCTAACTATGACCTAAACCCATGAAAGAAAAGACTTACAGATTTCACTTCATAAAATTTCTATGTGGTACATCCATACCATGGACTACTATTATAATACTTACAACAAAAAGGAACAAACTATAATGTACGCAACATCTTGGATGGATCTCAAGGGAAATATACTGGGTGAAAAAAATCTCAATAGGTTACATACTATTCCATTCAAATAGCATTCTTGAAATGGCAGAATTATAGAGATGGAGAGCAAGTTAGTGGTTGCCAGGGCTTAGGGAAGGGGCTTGGGGTGAGAGGGAGGTGGCTGTGGCTGTCAAGGGGTAGCCCATGAGGTCTCTGAGCTGGAGCTGCACTGTGTCTCGACTGGTCGTCACCACACAAATCTGCACGTGTGATAAAAGGGTATAGAACTAAATACGCAGACACAGTTGAGTGGAAGTGAAATGGGAAATCTGAATGCATTCAGTGGATTGGATCAATGTCTGTTTCCATTCAGAATCTCAAATCTTAAAAGATTTTGTGTTTTATAAATATGATTAGTAAAAGTTTCAAAGCGGATCTATAGTAACCTGAAAGTTCACAATGTCAGTAAACCTCTCATGATATTGGGAAAAAAGATAAACGTTAAGGGTGATATTACCCTATATTTGGTCAACTCTTTGTTTTATATATTAAAATTACCAAACTGAGAGTTTATTTGTTCTTCTCCCATAAATAAAATTAAGCCCTGTGGGTCTTGCTCTGTGGCCTAGGCTGGAATGCAGTGGCCCAATCATAGCTCACTACAGCCTCAAACTCTTAACACTTGTTTACTTTTAATTCAGTTCCAAATATATTTGCCATTTAGATTTTTGTCCAAGTAGTAGCTTCACCCTCCCCCATTTTAATAGACCTAAAATATAAAGTCCCTTCTGCCTTAGAATAAATGATGAGCATTTGGTGCTGGTCTTTAAGATTACCTGTGGACATCACATCTGATGAATATACTAGTTATCATGTTCATTTCCAAAATTCTTTGCACTCTGGATCTCCTGTGCTACTACTATTGGAGTCTCCATATGGTTTATTACAGGGCATCAGTTAATCATTCACCAGGGGTGTCCCTAGGCTAAGCAAGCTCCACCCACTTCCTCCCTGTCGCTCACTTGAGGAACATGTTTTCCTTTGATTTTACCACCTTCCTCTGTCTACTCAATTCTTGTTTATCTAGAACATTGCGTGAGTGCTTTTAAAAAGATCCAAGATAAAACTTTAAAAGAAATGGCCCATAAAATCTATACTGTTCTGTTCCAAAAGGTGAAGGCATCTCTTGTACAAACAAAAATGGATGTAATTCACTCAGATATACAAGGTGAACCAGTTCATTATGCATGATGTGTATGCCTCTAATTAATTTGATTAGTTATCTATACAGTAACAGCCCCTTAAGATGTTTCCAAAGGACCACTATAAACAATTATTATTTTTTTAAAAAAATATTTAAGAAAAGTAGAAAGTTAGGGACTAATAAGTGAAATTTCAAAATTGAATTCCTTGCATAAACATTATATGTAAGTGGGAAACAGAGGATTTTACTGTTTTACATTTTTTTAGACACATGGCAATCTTAGATCATCTTATAAAATATGTTTATTGTCACATAATAAAATGTGAAATTATATTTTATCTTTTAGAAAGTGAACTCTTGGCCGGACGTGGTGGCTCACGCCTGTAATCCTAGCACTCTGGGAGGCCGAGGCGGGCAGATTGCTGGAGGTCAGGAGTTCGAAACCAGCCTGAGCAAGAGTGAGACCCCGTCTCTACTATAAATAGAAAGAAATTAACTGGCCAACTAATATATATAGAAAAAATGAGCTGGGCATGGTGGTGCATGCCTGTAGTCCCAGCTACTCGGGAGGCTGAGGCAGTAGGATTGCTTGAGCCCAAGAGTTTGAGGTTGCTGTGAGCTAGGCTGATACCACGGCACTCACCCTAGCCTGGGCAACAGAGTGAGACTCTGTCTCAAAAAAAAGAAAAGAAAAGAAAGTGAACTCTTTAGCTGGACCAGCTGTTCCTTCAGTTGTGGTGTATCTAAAAAGGAGTCATTAGATCAGCACCTCAGATAGTGACTTCAAAGAAGATGGAATTCCCTCCTGGAAATCAAGTGGCATTTCTGTTGGAGATGAAATTACTCCAGCCAGTCCCATGCTTGGGAATTCAAGTAATCCCAATAAGGCAGATATTCCTGAACACAAGAAAAGCTCAACTGTCCATAGTATAAGTGTTGTTGAACTAGAGAGGGGCCTAGGATCATAGAGTTGGAACCAGCCAGAAACAGCTGTTCTAAGCTTGTCCATTTTGCTCCTATTTTCTCCTCTGCCTAGAATGCCCTCCCTACCACACCACCATTCCCAATCTCCACCTATAGAAATCCTGCCTGCTCTATTGTAGGTATATCTTGTTGACAACCCTCTGTCTTAGTCCATTCCTACTGCTGTAACAAAATTCCTAAGAATGGATAATTTATAAAGAACAAAGATTTATTTCAGAGGCTGGGCACAGTGACTCACGATTGTAATCCTAGCACTTTGAGAGGCCAAGGTGGGAGGATCACTGAGGCTAGGAGTTCAAGACCAGCCTGAGCAAGAGCAAGACCCCATCTCTACTAAAAATAGAAAAATTAGCCAGGTGTGGTCATGTGTGACTATGGTCCCAGTTACTTAGGAGGCTGACAGAGAAGGATTGCTTGAGCCCAGGAGCTCAAGGTTGTAGTGAGCTGTGATAAGGCCACTGTACTCCAGCCTGGGCAACAGAGTGAGACTCTGTCTCAAAAAAAAAAAATTATTTCAGTTCTGGAGGTTGGGAAGTCCAAAATCAAGGTGCCATTGGGTTTGGTGTCTAGTGAGGGCCCTGTTCCCTGCTTCCAAGATGGCACCTTATTGCTGCATCTTCCTCAGGAGACTAACGCTCTGTCCTCACATGGCAGAAGGGATGGGAAGGACAAACTCTCCCCCTCAAATCCTTTTATAAGGCAATAATCCATTCATAAGGGCAGAACCCTCATGGCCTGATCACCTCCTAAAAGCCCCACCTTAATGTTATCACATTGGCAATAGAGTTTCGACATGAATTTTGGAGGAGACAATCATTCAAACTATAGCGTACCTCCCATATATTATACACTAGATGAGTGATGAGGTTCTTTACATCAGGTGCTATTTCCAGTTATTCCACAGACATGTGTTAAGCTTATATTGGTTATGTCAGGTACTGAGAGATGGGGAGACCTCAATCTAACAAAGGAAGAAGTAAAAACAATGACAGCTCAGACAGATGGCAGCAGACAGAAGCCTACCATAGATGCACCTGGAGGCCTGACTACCTGTGGCCCAGGGATGTGATGTTTGCATGGAGTCTTCAAAGGGCTGTCATGATAAAGGACACTGACTGAATTCCTACCACATGCCAGGGACCATGCTATGTGCTTTTCCGTGGATTAGCTACATTTTAAGGTGATGAAAATGAAGAAAAGTTAGGTAATTGCCTGAAATTACACTGCTGACCTGAACCCAGCTCCTAATCCCAACCTATAACAAAATCTCCCCAGTAAGTAGATAGTATTTGCTAAATTAAATTGAATCCATTTAGCTTCAGTAACTTTTCCTGTGGATTGAAGTATCTTCTATCTGATCTAAGATAGTAATTTTTATCCTTAGCACTCCAAGAAGTAATTTTATAAAGAATTTGCAGAGAAGCGAATGATCTCAAGGTTATTCTGCAAGCACGTTTCTCCCTACAAAATTAGCAGTGAGCCCTCCGTCCCCAGAGACACCCTGCAGTGAGGAGCCTGGGGCCCCTGCTGCTCACTGTGGCATCTCTTTGTGCCATCCAGGGTGGGCGGGGTGCCTAAAGGAGGCCAAGGGGTTTCCGTCCTCTGACCTTGTGCTTAGAGTTAACCCTGTGTGAAAAGTTTTTCTTTTTAATTTTCACATCTGAGTACCATGAAATAGGATTGTCATCCCATAGTCCTAAAGTTAAGATTCAGTCTCCAACTTTTCTTGACAGTTCACAGAGAAGAGAAGGACCTCCGTCTCTGTCTTCAGGACTTTCCATTCCTGCCGCTTTTATCCGCACGCTGCCCTTCCAAAAGTATGTCATGAGCATTATCAGTCACCTATATTTGATTAATAATAAATGTCTATTCAAGTTGCCTTTTTTTTAGTGCTCTTCCACACTTTATCAGAAGCAACACAGTTCTGAAGGAGATGCAGTTAAAGTTATAACAGGTGTTCTAGCTTGTCAATATACAGTTTTATCATTTTCATTAAAAAAGCAGATTACAATGGTGCCCTCATTTGCATTATAATTAGTTACAAGACACTCAAGTTGCCCATTTTTATTTATTTATTTATCTATTTCAGCATATTATGGGGATACAAATGTTAAGATTATGTATATTGCCCATGCCCCCCCCTCAAGTCAGAGCTTCAAGCGTGACCATCCCCCAAACGTTGCACATCTCACTCATTATGTTTGTATATACCCATCCCCTCCTCCCCCCTCCCACCTGCCCAACACCCGATAAATGTTATTCCCATATGTCCACCAACGTTTTGATCCGTTAATACCAATTGTATGGTGAGTACATGTGGTGCTTGTTTTTCCATTCTTGAAATACTTCACTTAGTAGAATGGGTTCCAGCTCTATCCAGGAAAATACAAGAGGTGCTATATCACCTTCCTTCCTTCCTTCCTTCCTTCCTTCCTTCCTTCCTTCCTTCCTTCCTTTCCTTTCCTTTCCTTTCCTTTCCTTTCCTTTCCTTTCCTTCCTTCCTTTCCTTTCCTTTCCCTTCCTTCCTTCCCTCCCTTCCTTCCCTTCCCTTCCTTCCCTTCCCTTCCTCTCCTTCCTTCCCTTCCCTTCCCTTCCTTCCTTCCCTTACTTCCCCTTCCCTTCCCTCTTCCTCCCTCCTTCCTTCCCCTTCCTCTTCCCTTCTTCCTGCGTCTTCCCCTTCCCTTCCCTTCCCTCCTTCCCTTCCCTTCCTTCCCTCTTCCCTTGACCCTCCTTCCCTTCCCTTCCCTTCCCTCCCTTCCCTCCCTATCCCTCCGTTCCTTTCTTCCCTTTCTTTCTTCTTTCTTTCTTCTTCTTTCTTTCTTGCTTTCTTCTCTTTCTTTCTTTCTTTCCTTGCTCTTTCTTCTTTCTCTTCCTTTCACTTTTCTTCTTCTTTCTCTCTTTTCCTCTCTCTCCTCTTTCATTCTTTCTTTCCTCTTTTCTCTTCTCGCCACCACCTCTCTTTCTTTCTTTTCTTTTCTTTTTCTTATTCTTTTTTTTCTTCTTTTCAATTCTTTTTTCTTTTCCTTCCTTTCTTTTCTTCTTTCTTCTTCTTCTTTCTTTCCTTTCCCTCACGAGTCTCACTTTGTTCCCAGGGCTATGGAGTGAGGCGGGCGTGCATCAGCCTACGCTCACAGCAACCTCAAACTCCTTGGGGCCTAAGCCATCCGCACTGCCTCAGCCTCCCCAATGCTGGGACTACAGCCTCATGCCCACCGCGAAGGGGGGGGGGGGGGCGGCGCGTGCCTGCTAATTTTCTATATATAGGGACGGTCTATTAGTTGGCCAATTAATTTCTTTCTATTTATAGTAGAGATGGGGTCTCGCTCTTGCTCAGGCTGGTTTCAAACTCCTGGCCTGGAGCAATGCGCTTGCCTCGGCCTCCCAGAGTGCTAGGATTACTCACCCATGGTGAGCCACTGTACCTGGCCTCACTGTTGTTTCTTAAAGCTGAATAGTACTCCATGCTATACATATACCACATTTTATTAATCCACTCTTGTATTGATGGGCACTTGGGTTGTTTCCACAACTTTGCAATTGTGAATTGTGCTGCTATAAACATTCAAGTGCAGGTGTCTTTTTTGTAGAGTGTCATTTGATCTTTTGGGTAGATGCCCAGTAGTGGAATTGTTGGATCAAATGGTAGATCTACTTGTATAGGTATCTCCATATTAAGTTGCTCATTTTTAAATTGTGCTCTCATTTTGTGGTTGAGTTGTAAGAATTCTTTATATATTCTGGAGACTAGACCCTAAACCAGATATATGATTTGCAAATATTTTTTTCTCATTGTGTAAATTTTCTTTTCACTTTCTTGATAATGGTCTTTGCACAAGTTTTCATGTTGATGAAATCTACTTTATTTTTTCTTTTATTGCTCATGGTTTTGGTGTCACATCTATGAATCTATTTCAAATCCAGTATTATGTAGATGTGTTATATCTTAATTTTTATTATTTTTATTTATATATCTTACATTTATAACCCTACTTTTTAATTTTGAAAGTATTTGCTTTTAAAAATGGTGGCTCACCCTATAGTCCTACTTTCATTTAAATAATCTGTGAATTATTACTTTATTGATCATTATAAACCATTATTATAGTCACCCTACATTAGCCATTTTTCATGTTTTTTCCTACCAGAAGAGAGGGTAGAGGTTGTTATCCTCACTCCCTTTTTTGATCTTTTGGCCATTACTATGGGTATTTTAGCATAGTTTAAAGACTGAGTACTACTGTTTATGTAAATGAGTTCTTTTTTCCCTTCATTATACTATATTTATGAAATAGTTTAAGACAAAAATGCCCCTTTTTATAGAGTAAAATGGCATCTGGAGGAATGACATGGCGAAGTGCGCATGTTAGCAGTGAGAGAACTGCCGCTGATAGACATGCAGTGATTCAGAATGGCAAAGAAAACAGGCTTGGTTTGGGGGGAGAGGAAAAAGAGAAGTTGGGTTGGTAGAGAGTAGTTAAATATATTTATTCTATATAGAACAAATTTCCCAGGCTGGCATGGATTTTGCTTCCTTGTTTTCAGAAGACGAGTCTTGTATAAACTAAATTCAAAGATAGAAATCAAGAGATAAGAGTCTAAGTGGGTCCTAGAGTAAAAATCTATAAAAATAAACTTACATCATCCTCCTAATTTGCACATTATTTACTCATGTCTAGCATCAAAATTGTTTCTTTATTTTCTTCTGACATTTATTTTCTAAAGTTGCATTGTAAGGTTTCTGTTTCCTTAATACTAACCTTACGTTTGATCTCTTTAGTCATATGAAATGTTTGATCACTTATATGACAGCCTAAGCAAAGATTCTTCTTTCCTCCTTACTCCCCCAAACCAAACTATTTATAATTTCCCTATTCCATAGACCACATAGGTTTGAATTGTTATGGGGAATAAAGCTTGTTATATTAGATTGTTTATTATTCAGTGAATTTTAGCAATATTTGCATTCTAGTGTTCTCTTTTCTGAGTCCTATGTGTCTTTTTTTTTTTTTTTTTTTTTTTTTAGACAGACTCTCACTCTATTGCCCAGGCTAGAGTGCCATGGCGTCAGCCTAGCTCACAGCACCCTCAAACTCCTGGGCTCAAGCAATCCTTCTGCCTCAGCCTCCCGAGTAGCTGGGACTACAGGCATGCGCCACCATGCTCGGCTAACTATTATTTAGCCAATTAATTTCTTTCTATTTTTAGTAGAGACGGGGTCTCACTCTTGCTCAGGCTTGTTTCGAACTTCTGACCTTGAGCGATCCACCTGCCTCAGCCTCCCAGAGTGCTAGGATTACAGGCATGCGCCGCCATGCCCAGCTAATATTTTCTCTCTATATATTAGTTGGCCAATTAATTTCTTTCTATTTTTAGTAGAGATGGGGTCTTGCTCTTGCTCAGGCTGGTTTTGAACTCCTGACCTGGAGCAATCCTCCTGCCTCGGCCTCCCAGAGTGCTAGGATTACAGGCGTGAGCCACTGCGCCCGGCCAGTCCTATGTGTCTTAACATTATCTTTTTCCTTATGGTTAAAAACTATTAAGACTTAATTGAGTATAGCAACTGGGCTAGAGTCTTTACAGATAGTGATTTCTTAACAGCTTATTCTCTCACAGATTTTCTTTTCTTACAGTTCTATGCTCCTTTATCAAATGTCTTCTAGTTCAAAGTGACTTAGAAGATATCGGTAGAAGACTTAATTAGAAGTTTCTAATGTTATGGATTCAGTCTTTGAGACTGGAAAACTTGTTTCATGACCTTTCTTGTTTTTTAAAAATGCTTCTGACTTGTTGAACTGCTCTCTCAGGCTCCTTCTGAACTTCAGGATATGTGACTCTGTGAGTTGCAGAGTCAGACTTCTTACAGGTGTTAAGACCAGGGGCTGCTCTCTGCTCCCCATCCTGTGTCTGTGGGTGCAGCCTCCAGGCACTGCACGTTATGCCTGTGCTTGTCTACTTCTCCTTTCCTAAAATTATTCATTTCACTCTTTGAAAATAGTTTTTACGACTTCTTTAATTTCTCTGGAGTCATTTCCTTTCTGTGTTCCCCCTGCAGACACCTTCCTTATTGGGGCTGACTCCTCCAGATCCTGACCTGGGCCTTGTCGCTTCTCTTCCCGTAAATCACTGGAATACTTTACTTTTGAAGATGTTGTCTTTATCTTTAGCTAAATAGAGCCTCAGTGCCCAACCATACAAGACAGGCCCCATAGATTTAATTATATCAGATTTTCTTTTTCTTTCTGTCTTACAAATGAATTAAAAGACTGTGGAAAATTATTGGGTTTGAAGGCTGAACTTGTGGTCATATTTTTTTTACTTTCAGTTAAGGCACTCAGTGTGACTATTTTCTCTCCCTTAAAAATGATGCCTGAGGTTGGATGTGGTGGCTCATGCCTGTAATCCTAGCACTCTGGGAGGTCGAGGTGGGAGCATCGCTTGAGGTCAGGAGTTTGCGACCAGCCTGAGCAAGAGGGAGACCCTGTGTCTACCAAAAATAGAAAAATTAGCTGGGCATAGTGGTGTTTGCCTGTAGTCCCAGCTACTGGGGAGGCTGAGGCAGGAGGATTGCTTTAGCCCAGGAGTTTGAGGTTGCAGTGAACTATGATGACACCACTGTACTCTAGCTGGGGCAATAGAGCAAGACCCTGTATCAAAAACAAACAAATGATTTCAATTATCTTTGATTATTAATAGTTGCATTTAGCCTTTTCTGCACAAATTACTTCTTAGGCAGATTATTGCTTCCGCTTCATCTCTCCCTTCTATATATCTTTTTCCTTCACTAATTTAAAAATACTAGTGAACTACAGGATGCCTGGACCTATGCCTGAAACAAGCATATTAAGTTCCATTTTCAGCCTTAAATGTGTTGGACTTTTTTCCTCTATGTATGAGTGTTTATATAGAATTTCAACATGAGAATGATCATGGCTGATAAAAACTGTGAAAAGGTTGGAACCAAAGGACTCCTATGCCTTAAATGAGTCTTACTACCTTCAAAATTTTATACCAAGCATAGGATGATATTTCAAAGGCTCACCAAATGTAGGCTTTTCTCCCTCTTGCCACAGGCAATCTTTCTGTTTATCAGCTTTACAGTGTGAAAAATAAAGTTAATCATTGGTCTGGGGAAGCTTAGCTTCTGGCAAGTTATTGCTTTGGCACAAGCACCTGTGAGTAGTTTTCTGAGTAAGACTCACCTTGAAACCAGGTGTGCTGAAGTCCAGCCTGCTTTTTGCTGGAATCCTCCTTAGGTAGCTATTCTACCTTCTGTTATCGGTCTCCAAAAATGGCTGATTCCAACCATGACTAACAGTCAATATAAACTAGGCTTAGGCTTTTGAAGGTTTGATGACATCTTTAATTGTATGATTCTGTCAAGATGGTAAGTTTTACAGAGTCTTAAACCACTGAGCACAGTGGTACCCTTTCCCTCTTAACTTACCTTTTGCTCCTAAGTACTGGAAAAAACCCCTTCGATCTGGATTGATTATACCTGATTTTCTCCACTGTGCATAAAAGGTATATTGTGATTGTAAATTTTCATATGCTGTGTTTGTAAGAGTCTCTTGTTTTCTGATCTCCACAGCACTATTCCACTCTAGTTACTTCAACATACAGTATTAGCCATGCAACCACCCCAGATCGAATCTGCTTCCCAAGAAGCACTGCCTGCGGCAGCACTTTCCAGGATCAGCCAGGGGAGTGGCGAAGGGCAACTGATAATGGCCTCCCCGCCTCTCCCAGCCTGTCCCATGAAGCCACACTATTGCTCCAGACTCGAAGCTGAAGTTCCACTATCGTTTTAGTAAATTAACTTCAAAACTCAGAAAAGAGGAGGTAAGTGTCAAGTGATGCTAGTTGTTTTAGAGTGAACACATAGAGCATAAGGAGAAATGTTTTTTCTGTGGTGTGAAGCCACCGCGCAGATATTTTTCATTCTGCCTTCAGCTCATGTTTTTCTGGTTTTTTTACATATCTAACTTTATACGTTAAAACCATTAAAATAGAAATTACAGAGTTTTTTCATAACACTAAAAGTTGTCTAGCATTTTGGAGCTTTTTGTTATTCTTTAATTACATTCTTTTTGGTCACAAATTTATCCTCATGGCATGTTCACTGTGGTTTAGCAAAACTCCGGTTCTGGTGTAAGCAAGGGACTGGTGCCCCTAGCAATCACCAAGGAAGACAATGCCCCATAGACACAAAGGAGAGGGACATTTCCTCTTTTCTCACTTAATTGTCATTAAGGAGCACTAAGTTTCTTAAAGTCCAAATCTTGAAATTGTTCTCTGTTTCAGTATGTTATCTTGAGGGCAGGAGAACTTTCTTCAAAAGTATATTGTGGGAGATAAAACCCCTGGTGTATTTTCAAAAAATAATAGTGTCATCTTAGCATATCCAGGGCATAAGAAAGAAAAAAATAATAATATCAGGCTATGCATAAAATGCTTCATGTATCTAGTTAGGCTGTCTTTTTTTTTTTTGAGACAGAGTCTCGCTTTGTTGCCCAGGCTAGAGTGAGTGCCGTGGCATCAGCCTGGCTCACAACAACCTCAAACTCCTGGGCTCAAGCAATCCTTCTGCCTCAGCCTCCCAAGTAGCTGGGACTACAGGCATGTGCCACCATGCCGGCTAATTTTTCTATATATATTAGTTGGCAATTAATTTCTTTATATTATAGTAGAGACGAGGTCTCGCTCTTGCTCAGGTTGGTTTTGAACTCCTGAGCTCAACAATCTGCCCGCCTCGGCCTCCCAGAGAGCTAGAATTACAGGCATGAGCCACGCGCCCAGCTAGGCTGTCTTTTTGAGCCTTGGAAAAGCTAAAGGTCCTTGGAGGTAATTTGACTTCATTTACTTGATCTAGTATACATGTTGCAAGAGCCTAGAAATATTGGTTGCTTCCAGAGGAAAAAGAAAGGATCACTTTGAACCATAAGCAAGTAGGGAAAGGTACCTTTAGCCAGGAACAACCCCAGAAACCCAAGAGCCCCTGCAGTTTCAGGCCTCCCTGGGGAATTCTTTGAATTAAGCCTGACCGTGGATGAGTCTGTCTGAGGTTCCTGCAGTTTGCCTGCTGCTGCCCCTCTTGTGTGTCAGCTGTGTCTCAGGAAACAGCAGGAGTCTTCTCAGGTCTGCTGTGGTCAGTGCCCCTCCTGTTTCTCTGCAACTCCCATGGTCTGTTAGCACCTGCCCAGTGTCACACCATGGCCGTTTTTAAACTGTAAGCAAATGTCACTTTTTAGTCTCCTTAATTTCTCCAGATTAATCACCTAAAATTAGGTGAGTCATGTTAAAAGTCTCATCTGTTACTGTTAGGATATCAAATAGTAGATATGGTAGGATTTATGATATCCATTAGCATTAACTAGAAACCAGCACAGTCAACATGTTTCAGTCCACATTATTCTCTTCTCATCCCAGCCCTTTACTAAGACACCATTCCAAGACTGAGCAGAACAGAGTGGTCTAAAGGGCCTTGCTAATTTGGGCTGGGTTCATGACCAGCGAGAGAGACAGTGCATTCAATCCAAAAGATGTGTTGACCCCCAGGCTAAATCATTCCTTCCTTTCAGGGTCACCTATGGCCTGTCCCAGGCTCCTTGTCCCTAGCCTCTTCCACAGGGACTAGGCTAAAATGAAATCTGCCTCTGAACTTGGGTGGTAAAAGATGGAGCCGGGTACCATTTATGTGGCTGTTCACCTTCTGTCGGCTGCTTAGTGTCACCAGTATTTTCCCTCTGAGCCTCAAGCAGAGGGGTGTGCAGCTAAGTTCAGAAAGGCAGCTTTGTGTCCATGCACTTTGTTCTGTAATGGGCTCTTTGAATAAAACTTGCACATCATTAAATCATTTAGTTTATTTAATTGTTTCCTTTGTGCTCCTTTTTGGGTCATCTTAAGACTGTTGATAAAAATATCAGCTACCGTTATTTGAATGTTTACTATGTGCTAAGATAGATGTCTGTAGATATACAGATATACCATTTTACAATTATAATATGTCTCTCTTTGTATGTAACCCTAACCCTAAATACGTACATATTTATAAATACAAAATGGATATGTCTGTATTTATATATATACACTCACACGATACATCTCCATAGTCTAGTGGAGTAGATATTCCCCATTCATAGAAGAACGAAGATGAGGTTCAGAGAGGTTAAGGTAATGTTCAAGATCCTACAGCAGAAAGTGTCAGCAGAGCCAGGTCTGTGACCAGAGGAGGCCCTTTAAGCCACTATACTTGTGCCCCCTTAGAAAACTCGGTGAAGGACTGGTACAGTGTGAGTCCTTTTCTCTTATTTCTAATACGTTCGTTCATGTATTTGAATTGAGATTGGAGATGCAGGTTTCTTGTTTAAAAATTCTAGGTGGTTGGCTGGGCGTGGTATCTCATGCCTACGATCCCAGCACTTTGGAGGCCAAGACTGAAGCATGGCTTGAGGCCAGCTGGGCAATAATGAGACCTGTCTTACAGAAAATAGAAAAATTAGCCAGGCATGGTGCATGTGCCTGTAGTCCCAGCTACTTGGAAGGTGAGGCAGGAAGATCACTTGAGCTGAGCTCAGGAGTTTGAGGTTACAGCGAGCTATGATGACACCACTGCACACTCAACAACTGGGCTATAGAGTGAGATCTGTTCCCAGCCCTCCACCCCAAAAAAGTTCTTGGTGGTGGTTTTTATTCTACAACTTTCAATTTCCAAGTATTTCTACCCCTCAGTTTTTGTAGATAGCTTTCCTTATCTGTGTCGTTAAAGCTTGCAAACCAAGGCTGTCTTCTCCTTAGTCATCCTTCAGTTACAGGCGGCTTGCTCTAAAACAATCATAGGTCATATTGCAGTGTGGAGCTCCTGTCCTCCCTTAGCAATAATTGCTAGGATTAAAGTTGCAGTGCTGAGAGCCAGGGTATTTGCACTTAGGTCTGCAAGGGAGATAGGGCCTGGCTAGGTAGGAGGGCTGGTGTCAGAAAACCTACACTCTGCCTGGACAACATGGCTTTGCAGAGCTGCGAACCCTTTGTAGTCAGGAGTGAGACTCTCCCTCCTAGGGCCAGGCCTGGCCTGCTCAGATTCGTCCACATGGGGGGCCACAGTGCAGAGTGCAAAGGCGTCCATCCGCAGTGTCCTCCTCCTTTATACTCACGGGGTTCATGGAGGAAAGTTAAGAAATTGGTCCTAAGGTATTTGACCAGTATCCCTGACTTTCCCAGTATGAAATTAGGAAATGAACATATAATTTTTTTTAGTCATTTTCAACTAAAATAATTGTGGAATGATACCACTTATATTTATGTAGTATTTTATTTATAAAATACTTTCAAACTGTGGTTCTCTTTACAGTGGATAACACTGCTGTGTACCATTTTGATCTGATGACGAAGTGGTTGGCAGTTATTTACAGTAGTTAGACATTTTTTAAATTTGCCAGTTAGTATCTGAAGCAATGCCAGAGTTATCCCAAATTAGAAAGTCCAAGGATTTCATTATTCAGTCATTCAGCAGATAAATATCATTGTGTCTTTGTGGTCCAGTTGCAGAACTGCCTCTACAATAGAAGTTAACAAGCCCAGCCTGTACTTGCCCGGGAGGCTGATCCTAAAATCTGATCCATAGTTCAAAAGTCTTTTGTAGATTCTGTTTGGCACAGTCTTTGCATCTCCTTAAATTGTTTTAGTGACCAGAGTCACCTTTATAATAGAGTTCTTCCAGTTTATACATAATATAAATCCATACCGTTATCTTGTCATTTAATTTTTATTTATTTTGAGATCTAAAACTACAAGTCTATTTCAGTTTAAACTCAATAACCTATGTTTTTCTTAAAGTGATTATATCATACCACTGTAATGAATGTTCTGTTAACGTTTAATCATCTTCCTGAAAGAAGTAATGACTCTTCATTTAATAGTTAATATTTATAATGAATTTTTTGATGTATAAGAAGGCAAGATTTTGTTAATAAGATACTCTGTAGAAAATTGAGAAATGCTGTTTTAGTACTAGTACATTGCACATGGACTTGTCATTTCTTTAACACAAGATTAAGTTTTCTCTTTCTTTTTTTTTTTTTTGGAGACAGAGTCTCACTCTGTTGCCTGGCTAGAGTGCTGTGCATCAGCCTAGCTCCAGCAACTTCAAACTCCTGGGCTCAAGCAATCTCTTGCCTCAACCTCCGAGTAGCTGGGACTAAAGATGCACCACCATGCCAGCTAATTTTTTCTATGTTTTTTAGTTGGCATTTATTCTTTCTATTTTTAGTAGAGACGGGGTCTCACTCTTCGCTCAGGCTGGTTTCAACTCCTGACCTGAGCCATCCTGCGCTCGGCCTCCCAGAGTGCTAGGATTACGGCATGAGCCACCGTGACTGCCAAGATTTAAGTTTATGTTAAAGTTATTTATCTGAAGAACTTAATAGTTTAATTACATCTGACTGTCAATATTTACTGCTGAGTGTTTCTTCCAGTATAGTTTTTTAAATATTTCTAGTTAAAAGATTCCATACTCATTTAATTATATGTAATAATTTTACATTTTCAACAAATGGTCACCATTTCATTATTTATTGGCCAGAAGAGGAGCCCTGTTTTATTTGGGTTTTTTTTTCTTCTGTCTACAATTGATTATATTTTCAGTTTAATTTGTACAAATTGTTTCTGTTAATTTTTTTTATTTTCTTTTAGAAACATGTCATCAGGTTTATCAAAAGGTAGGATTTATTTATACAATTGATTTTCCAATCATCACCCAAATGGCCCTGTAATTAACATCAGGTTTGGCTTTCTGGCCTTCGGTTTTTTCTTAAAACTAACCTTTCTGCTGAAGATGAAATAAC